ACTTGGATCTCAAACCAGAACTTTCTAAAGAAGCACATTTAACAGTAACAATAGTATTATGTTTGGCCTTCAACTGCATTAATTTTTTTTTCAATTTTTTTGGGATGGGGGGAGGGGGCGGCCGCCCACCCTAGCCTCCCCCTGTCTTCGCCCCTGCACTTACTGCCTTTGACACCTGTCTCAAGTTTTGCTATGGCTTGACTTTGGAATGTATAAGGCCATTAAGAAAGAGAATGTCATTTACAATTACAATATTGATGCTTTTCTTAGCTCTAGTATTTTCCCTAGTCGGAAGGATTCAATCATTCTTCTCCATATACTTTTGGCTGAGGACCAAATGGTGGTCAGTCATTGTATTCAATCTTTAACAAATAAGGCTTCCTTGTTTGCTAAAGGAATCAATTGTGAGGGACAACTAATCCAGAAGATGACCTAAATGCTCTGGCGACAGCTGAGAACTTCAACGCATCACGAAAGGAGAACTTGCTTCCTTGATCCTCAATAGAGTTCTAAGTGGTGGCCAAGATGCTTCCTTGATCCTCCCTAGAGATCCTTTCCTAATTCCCATTTCACAGAATACATGTCCCCTCACAACACACATTCCCCTCCCATTTATCCTATCATTAAGAACCTTCTAGATAATTCTTAATTAACTAACTTATCCACTTGAGGCCCATAGGCCCATCATACAGCAAGCCTAGTAAGTAACAAATCTATTCCCAACATTTGAGATTCTACGTCTCACATACACTGTGTTCTGCCTTGAAGACAGAGATGTCCAGCCCAATAGGCTGATACGTTGATCTTGGATCAAGTGCCTTCGCCAAGATAACTATGAAGGAGATACCCTTGAGTCAAGTAGATCACTGTGCACAACGAACTAATAACGACTTTTGCCAATGGGGTATGTGCGCACAGTGACAACATAACAATAAGAGAGAGAGTGTAACGTACCTTTAGAGTTTACCTTTTATTTATAGAGGTTACCTGTGGGTATGGGTGTAAATGGGCCAGGCTGGCCCAACCCAACCTTCGGCTCGGCCTACATTGAGTCCAGCTCAGGCTTGGCCTTTCAGAAAAGTAGAGTAGGCTTAGGCTTATAAAAAAGCTTTTTTAATAAATAGGCCATAGGCCAATTTTGTCAAGCCCAACCTACAGCCTTGTAGGCTGGCCTATTTAATTTATTAAAATAAAATAATATTTATTTTATGTGGCAAATACACAAAGCACCAAATACCAGTATCTCTTACTTTTTGTGCTATTTTATTTTATGAAAGGAAAACTTGTCTAATGTCTCCGAATTTTACATGTTGTTGCAGCTTAATACCATGGAGCAATGGGTACCTTGTTGGATTATGATGTTACTGATGAAGATCTTTCAAAAATACTCTTCTTTCCCTTGTCTTGATGGTGGTTTAAAGATTTTTAGATGAATGACATTCTCTTGTAGACTTTATTTTAGCATCTATTAATTGTATTTTTCATATTTTTCCCATTTCTTTAACTCTATTCCTCTATGATATACATTCTAGAGTTGAGGTATTATGTTGACTCTTTCTTGTTTGTCATTTTTTTTCTTATGAGAAATACTAGTGCATGCATGAATGGAACTTTCTTTGCTCTATACAATTATTTTTTTTGCTTAGTATATATAGTGGGAGGCCTACAAGGCCTGTAGGCCATGTCAGGCTTTCTTATTTTTGAAAATGGGTCGGACTTGGCCTACAAATAAAGCCTTTAATAGGCCAGTAGGTCAGATAGACTGAATTTTTTTTTGACGTAGGCTTGGGCCAGGATGGCCAAAGCCCAGCCCATTTACACCCCTACCTGTGGGTAGTATGATGTGGGCCTTTAGTACCTCTGATGAGGGTCTATGCTTGTTTGCTACGCTGTCGTATTAGGATTAATATCCTTGATGGATACTATCCATAATTATATTTGATTTGAATCTTGGATTGCCTCTTACTGGACTTGTCATTCAATGAGCCCTTTATATGAGTCCATAAATGATGAATAAATCAATAGTAACAATGTGTATTGATTGGTTAATGAACTCACACCATGTTTTTTCCTTTTTTTTTCCTTCTTAAAAAACAAGATATCAGTTCATTGCTTAATAAGTTATTGACTAATTTATTTATCATTAACCATTTACCACTTACCACGTAAGTCAGGTGTGGGATTTAAAAGTGTAAAATTTAAAAATATTTTCCAATAAGTAAAACCTCATATGCTAATATTCTTGACAAATATCAGGATGTTGAGGGCTGACATATGTATCTATGTTGTGGAGCTGCAAGCTTGTGCTTCATCGTTTTAATAGGAAGTCAAACCAGCTGTTTTATATATAATATAACGGCCACCCGTAGATTCTTTGAGATTCATTTTCTTTAATGTTTCATATTGTGCGGAATAATAGGTGCAAGTTTAATCCAAAGTAAGGCTTCCAATATATATAAGAGTGTAGATATGCACTAAAAGCTTAACCTGTAGTCTCCTGTACAACAACAACAATGACAAGTGGTATATGTCATAGTTCTCAAAATGCAATATTTTATTTGGAAAAAGTCAAATTGCAATTTAACTAACCATCAGATTTGTTTATCTAGCATACATCAAAAGAAACAAAATTGCTCACCTAAAAATCCACAGAAAGATGCTTCAAAATGCACGTCACAAGCGTTGATAATGATAATCCGGCATCCATTAACCACATAACCGTCCTTCTAAGTTGGATTATTAATCTTCTAAGATTAATAAAATCAAGGTTACTACTTCCTAGGCCACATATTTGTGCCGCGGCAGCAAGTTTAATCAAATGAGCTATCCTTAAATTAATCATAGTAGTAATGTAACCAATAGTCAATATGTTAAAGAGGCATTAAATAACTAGCTGTTAACCTCTATTAGTTATACTAATAATGTGCATATTGGACTTTTGCGCACTTTGTTTATGTCAAAGGGAGGTCAACTGCTTTGGAGCTGCTCCAATATCTAAAATCATTTGGGTACACTTGCAGGAACAAGCATTCATATTTAAGCGTTTATTACAAAGGAGTGGCAGTGATTCAAATCACGGCCACAAGAATGGTTATTAATTAATATACGCAAAACAATCAAAAAGAAAAACATCAGCAAATAGAAAAACTGAAATCGTCAGTGTCATAAAATTGGTTATTCAATAAGTACTAGACAAAAAGTGATGTGGAGTGGAGGGTTTCTTCAACAGAGACTGAACTCGAAACCAAAAATCCAATTTGATAGAAAGGTTCCTGCAACCAGTAGCATGCTCAATTCCCTTTCTCAAATCCCATTTGTCTTCCTAATGCATTGAAGGGACACATGGAGAGTTTATGCTGGATATGAAGAAACGCCTAGAATAGTCCCTCTCTCTTTCACAAACAAAACGAATTTTGAACTGTGAAAGGCCTAATTAAACTTAAAATTAATTATAATAATAATAATTAAGTAGGAGACATGTGGGAGGCAACTAGCCCCCCAATTAAAGAATAATAACAATCTGATACCATGGTGGAGTCTTACCTTTAACCACATTCGGACGCACATAAAGCCGAAGTCTGAGCTGCGAAAGATTAACCTAATTGGAATCCCATTCTCCACAAACACATTAATTATGTTGGAATATACGCTAAACGCATTTTATTTGAATGCATTCGTGGTCCAATTTGGATAAAGACGCCACGCATCCAACTTTTGGCTGTAACTTCTATGTCTAGGCTCTAGTTTTATCATCGCTCTCATCCCCAATCTTATCCTTTCGAATTTATCCATGGCTTTTTTTTTTAACAGCATCAATTCTGAGGTAAATCATCAAATATTTATTATTTAGTAATTATAAATTTAATAATTAATAAATTATAAGAATCTCATTGTAAGGTATAAAATACATTATTCTCATTATAGATTTCATAATTATAGCAACTTTACCGTGAAAATGGAACACAGCAAACATTCTTTATAGGGCTTTTTGACTCTTATAACCCTTTACTAATAAATAATTACTAAATTGACCTTCATTATAAACTATTTCAAAAATTTAACCCCCTCAAAAAATATAACATCAATCTGCCCCTGTTTGACCATTGACCACCAAGCCTATCCGGGTACACCCCTCCCTACCCGGGTATTTTTTGAAATTTTTTGTATACCCGAGTAAGGAGGAGTGTACCCGGGTATTATTCTTGATTGCTTGAATTATTTACCCGGGTAGGGATGAGTGTACCCGGGTAAATGTTCTTTATTTTAGTGATTAGTGATTCATTACTTAATTACTTGCCACGCGTTCTCTGTTTCTCGTTCTTTATGGTTTCCATGAACAGCGTTAGTGTTCATTTCTTTACTTTTTTTTTTTTTTTTTAATAAGCATCTACCTAATTAACTTATCTAAAAATGCTTTCGAGGAACCGCAGGCATTGACACAATACGTGTTTGAATCATTGTGGGTTAATAAGAAGAAGATTTACCCGGGTACACCCATCCCTACCCGGGTAAATAATTTAAAAAATCAAGAACAATACCCGGGCACACCCCTCCCTACCCGGGTATACAAAAAATTTCAAAAAATACCCGGGTAGGGAGGGGTGTACCCGGGTAGGCTTGGTGGTCAACGGTCAAACAGGGACAGATTGGTGTTTTGTTTTTTGAGGGGGTTAAATTTTTAAAATAGTTTATAATGAAGGTCAATTTGATAATTAATTATTAGTAAAGGGTTATAAGGGTCAAAACGCCCTCTTTATAGTTAGAAAAGCATATGAGAAAACATGGAAATGTAAGATAGTTGAGGAAAGAATAAAGATTCATCTCGCAACAAATTAACTTATATAAGTAAAGTGATCAGACTTAGATATGTGGAGAGGAATCCAAGGGGGGGAGGGATCTTTCTAACATTTGCGGAGAAACAGAGCCGATCTCACCACCCATATCATTGGAAGCGTGCGCAGTCGCTACCACTCTGACCCCTGACCAAGTGACCATGACCATTAGTAACTCAACCACGGTTTTACAATATAATAATAAAAGTGAACAATGGTTAATTATTAGCTGATGATGCAGGTTCCCAATAAATGACATACGCAGGACGCTCGAGGTTCACTTTATATACCACATCGATCCATGTATGCCTTTCAACCACTTTCTTTCCTCCAAAGCTCGCAGCGTTTTGTGTTTTTATAGTTATGAGAATCTAGCTAGATAAATAAATTAAGCCCAAATTCAATAAGATCAGAGAGTGTTTATAGGGAAATAGATAGTTAGACTTAGAAGGGAATTGGAAGATGAGCTGCAACGGTTGCCGTGTCCTCCGAAAAGGTTGCAGCGAAGAGTGCTTGCTGAGAGAATGCCTGAAGTGGACAGAGAACCCAGAAGCGCAGGGTCATGCCACACTCTTCGTCGCCAAGTTCTTTGGCCGTGCTACCCTCATGTCTTTCCTTTCCTCCGTACCCCCCAACCAAACATCCGGTATGCATTCAATTTCAAACCCAATATTAATCGTATCTTTAGCTTTCTCTATATTATTTCTTATATATGGACTTCTACGTTGCTTACTAGTATTTAATGGTTCCAATAATAATTGCTTGGAATATAATTGACTAGTATTAGAAATAAAGTCGTGGGTTTGTGGTATATAATTAAAAAAATGTAAATATATATATGGAATTGGCAGCTCTGTTTCGGTCACTTATGTATGAGGCAGTGGGACGTACCTTGAACCCAGTAAACGGAGCAGTGGGACTGCTATGGAGTGGAAACTGGCACCTCTGCCAGTTGGGGGTCGAGAAAGTTCTGAGAGGTTGTGTGTTGAGTCCTCTCTTCGATGATTCTGCTGCTCATCCGGCCCATCACCGATCAACCATGCTCGACGCAGAACTTGCTCCTGACAGATTGGTGGTTGACACGCGTCACCGGACACCATCAGAGGAATCAGAGACGACCACGTTGGAAAGTACAACTGCCTGTGAAAAGAAGCTGCTTCAACTATTCTTCTGACTCTTTCACAATCATCAATTCCTAACTAGTACCTACCATACCATCTAATATATATATATATAATGTTTTCTGCCTTTCTTTCTTTGTACTTTTCTTTTCTTTTTCTTTTTTCGTTGAGGCGATGTTGGTCCTTTTGATCCCTGACTGACTTCAACGCTAGCTAGCTAGATTTGCAAGCCAGTCTTTGTTGATCCTGAATTTCCTTAACAACATTGGAGTCCCTGCTGTCAAGTGTGGTGGAGTGCAATACTTGTAGAGTACTATTGCTTAAGACCTTGCAAGAGACCATGAAGTTCGGCATCAAGATCAAGAGGATTGGAAAAGCCTAGATATATGATATGATTAAGCAGAGAACCCCACTCATCCGTACGTCTGATGAGACCGCCGCAGCTTGCTGATTTTAGTGATCGGATTGGAAGCTCCATCAAAGCTGATTTTATTCCATCCAGAGTCCAAAAGAACCTGTTGTTCGATCATTCCAGCTTACTCTCGAGGATCCACAACCCCTGATGAATATAATCTGATATAATGTAGTTACCCACTTATATTATGTTTTCATTAATCAATTTAATCCCAATCCAGGTCAAATAGAAATCTTAAAAAACCGAATTGAATAAACTAAAATTAAAAAATTACAATTTTTTTATTGGATTAAATCAGTTTTTAATTCCAATTTTAAAAACTATTTCAATCCAAACTCAAATTATACTTATGTTTTATTGGCTTGCATTAATTAAAACTCAGCTCCTGTGAATATAATGACAAAAAAAATATTAACTTAATATTTAAAAAAAGCATAATTAATAATGGAAAATTATACTCTTACGTTGTATGACATTCATCTCTCATATTACACTCACATAAAAAAATGTGTCTTTCTTTTTCTTCTTTTTTTCCTTTTTTAAAAATTGATGGGCTTCATTTTATTTATCTTACAGTATAAGATAACTTCTCTCATACTACATTATAGAAGTAAAGTCCATTAATAATTTGTAACTATAACTATATTTAAAAAAAAATAACTACATAAGTTTCATATTCAAATATTTTTACTTACATTTTTTAGCATGAAAATGTTTATCAAATATAAAATTAATGAGCTTCAGAATACTTTAATAAGAGATTTTATAAAGAAAAATGATAATAAATAAGTCATAAACAAATTAAACAAGGCAAGCTCAAACTTTACATTTTCAAACAAGTCTAAACTCTAAGTTTAACTCATTTAAATAAATTAATTAAATTTGCACATCATTATTTTTTCGTTAACCAAAACTAAATATAAAGCTTGACTCGACTTGTTTAAAGTACTAAGTGCTCAGTGACATCTGCCTCTCCGCGAAATTAATCAATTATACATAGAAAAGGGAATTGTGACGCACAAAGGATATTTGTTACCGCCCCTTGAGTTCTTTAAGAATAGCTGAATCAATCATTGCCCTATAAAAATAGAGATGTATATGTGGGATCTTGCATACGAGGGAAGGAAATATACATACGGTTTATCTTGCCAATTTGATGACTCTGGGTTGCAAGTGTGGGATAATCCTCCTGGGAATATTAGAAGATTACACGTTCATGATCTAATGATGGTGTTCAACTCCATGTAGATACTTTTTTCTTTCTTTTTTAACCTTGTGGCCCAGGTCTTTAAAACACACAAGATATTGAAAAGAGTTACTTAAGTTTTTTTAAAAGACAATGAATTAAAATTTCTAAGCCACTCCTTTAGTGTTTAGTAAAATTTCTCAAGGATGACTCTTTTAAAATGTAAATAACTAAAACAGCTCAGTCAGATTTACGAAAAGTGAGCCAAGATATTTTTATAACATTTCTAGGCAAAAAAAAATTAACTTATTGTTTTTTAAATAAAAAATTATGAATTTATGGCAGTTTTGAAAATAATTACATATTTATTGCACAATATCACGCTCAATTTAGGCATCATTAATCACTCCTAAATTGGGCGTCAATCAAGAGGCAATCACGCCTAATTTAGGCGTCACACCAATCACGCCTAATTTAGGCGTCACACCAATCACGCCTAAATTGGGCGTAACTCAAGAGACAATCACGTCTAATTTAGGCGTCACTTATCAGGTGTTGACACGTGTCACTTTTTTTTCAAAAAAAAGAATTAAAAATTTAATCGTAAAACTTCTGAAGGTCATAACTTTTGACTCGGTATCCAAATCAGGTAATTCTTTTTTTGATTCCGCATAACTTTTCGAGATGTACGCAATGACATCTCATTTGATATATTTTATTATAAAAAAATTTAGTTTGTGATTTAAATTAAAAATAACAATTATTATTAATAAGGAAAACAAAATAAAGATTTGATTTGTGATTTAAACTCAAAAATCAATTTGAAAACTCTGTATTAATAAGGGAAATAATTAAATAAATATTCTAAATTTCTAAGGAAGAAGGATTTTATTTTTGAAAAACATTTGTAAGCCATCGTTAATTTCAAACCACGAATCAAATCACAAATCACATCTTTATTTATTTTTTTAATTTAAATCACAAATTAAATCTTTATTTATTTTTTATATTAAATCACAAACTCAGAACTCAGAGGCTTCTGAGTTTAACCGCTCTTATAAAATCATTCTTGCAAATTTAAATTTTTTTGTGAGAAATAAAATATATAAATGAAATGTCATTGCATAGATCTCAAAAAATTACATAAAATCAAAAAAAGAATTACCTAATTTGGATACCCGAGTCAAAAGTTACGGACTTTAGAAGTTTTACGATTAAATTATTATTATTATTTTGAAAAAAATGTGACACATGTCAACACCTGATGAGTTGACGCCTAAATTAGGCGTGACTGCCTCTTTAATGACGCCTTAATTAGGCGTAATTGGTGACGCTCAAATTGAGCGTGAAATTGTGTAATAAATGTGTAATTATTTCCAAAACAGCCTTGAATTCGTAATTAATTATTTAAAAAACATTAAATTAATTTTTTTTGCCCATTTTTCTATTATCTTTATCTTTATAATAAATTCCTTTCTTATTATCTCACAGATTCCTTTCTTATTATCTCACAGGTGTTTGTAAGAGAAAATTTTGGAAAAATGACAATGATAATCCTATTTATCCACGTTTAGTATTAAGTTTCTGAAAATTTTATGGAAAGTCTAATATTTTCGAGATTTTATTTTGTGTACAAATCTTTATCTAAAATATCATCCAACAATAGCATCAAATGAGTGATATTTTTGAAAACCCGATATTGAAAAAACTTTACACTTTTTTTTTATAAAATTCCGATAAGATTTTAGGAAATATTCCAATCGGTTCATTGCTTCGCAACTAATCCGATTCGGGACGGGTCCAGAATTAAGACTTTAAACTCCTCCCAAAACCTACTAAAAAATTTATCCTACATTTAATGCTCCCGTAGTGTTACTTAGAATGTGTGGAAAAAAAAAAAAAAGAGTCTGGGAGTAGTGTTAGCATCAAAACTGGGTCATCAAATAAGATCCCATAATTATTTAAATGTAAAACAACGAGTATAGAAATTGAAATTATTGTCATAGATTCAAATAAACATGATTACCTGGTTATTTGCAAACGACGACAAAAATAAACTGTATTGTTAAAGCAAAAAACCTTTATTTCGCCCTAACTTCACAGTTCGGCTACTACGGAGTCAGTTTCTCCCACCTAATTGTGCCTAAAAACGAATTGAGTATCACTAAACTTGTATTCATCTGTCTCTAATAACTACGGATATCTGTTTACTAGCTCAGTTGTTGAAACCTTTTTCGGGCATGTAGGAACTAAACCCGATAATCAAAACTATAAAATCTATTTTTCAATTAAAATATAGTTAGCACCATGAGCAAATCACCGAACTTTCAAAATTTAAGTAGTGCATGACACAAAACCGTCCAAATGTGCCCTGTAATCAGAAAATACTATGTAATGGCTTTTCCATCATCGTAAAATTGATATCACACAAAGATTCTTTTTGTATAAGAGTTTCAGAATGATAAATGAATCACAGAGAACGATGTAGATTAGCTAAAAACAATAATATAAAAAAAATATTCTTAGTTCCACAACATAAGTTTGAAGATTAAATTAACTAAATGCCACAAAAATTCTCAAGTTCTTAAAACAATAAAACCATCCCCACATCATCATCATCATCAAATGCCAGAATCTCCAACGGTTGGGGCAGGTGGAGACTAATACTTAGCGATACTGCAACATCATAAAATAAAATAGATTGAGATGACAACCCATGCTAAAACAATTATAGAAATCTTCATTTGAAAAGCACATCAAAACATTTACCTTAATGAAGCCAATTTCCTTGGCGTTGCTACGGAAGCACTGCCTGCAACACATAAGGCCATATTTCCTAATCATTCCATGAGGATTCCCACACACACGGCTGCAAAACAGGGGAGAGAATAGTAAACGAAATTATCATCAAAACAAAATCAAACCAGATCAAGTAGAAGTAACTGACAAACTAGTATTCCAATTCAAACTTAAATCTATCAAATACACTTGTTTCCTGAGAATATCTAAAATATAATAGTCTAAACTTGCAAAACAAAATCACTGTAGCTCTGTAAAACAAATATTAAAAGCAAAGAACGTATGACCTAATTCCTAAAACAAATGTGGAAAAAGGTACCACAGCCCAAAAAAGCCTGAAATACATATACCATAACGCATGCATAGAAGTTACAAAAGAATAGCATATATATTAACGGGCTCATAGCAAGCCACTTCCATGGTTAAAACCGTAATAGAAAACAACCACATCAATCATTAAAGAAAACAACCAAAGTAAAACACTTTTATAAGCAATTAGACAGAAGAAGCATGTGTGATGATATCCTAGCACATTGAATAAGATCAGCACTGGGGACAGCTTTCAAAAATAATTGTTGCATCAAGACTTTAAATGACATTTTGCAAATGTCTTAAACCATGATTCAGCACCTTTACACTGCTAGTAACAATTTAAGAAGTTACTAAACCACTAATCCATGAATCTCGAAACCCGCCTATACACCGATGCATAACATAACTCACTTTTTGATTGAAACCCCAACAATATAAATATATATGAGGCATATATATAAGATCAACAGAGAAAGAACAAAAAAAAAAAGGGCTCATCGTAACATCGAGTAAAAATAGTCATCATTTCAAACTTATCAATCCAAAAATGGCAATAATTATATAACAGAGATGGTAGGCGAGCTTAATCAAACTCAATTAATGAGGTACAAACTTGTTATCAGAAATACGGAGCAACGATTCAACGCTCTTATATACGGGATCAAAAGAAAGATTTCAAACTAAAAACAAAAGCCTAAATAACCGTCACAACATGAAATTGAGGATAAATAAACAGGTAAATGGATCAACTGTATCATTGTGAATCACCATCACGGATTGAGAAACAAGGGAAGAAGAGTTAGATACCAGGTGCGAGAACCAGGTCCATAGTTCTTGGGATGAGAATTCCACACATTGGAGTGGCCCATGATTTCGATTTGTTCCTCAGCGAAGATGGAAGACGCAAGAATTCTAAAAACCCTAGCCTCGCAGTCGTAGAGGAGTATGAACTAGCCTCCCCGAAATCCTAACATATATAGGAGAGTCAAAACCCTAGGGTTTATTTTTTATTCAGTATTATTAAATCCAATACTCGATGGGTATTGGTTGACCGAAAAATATATAAATATAAACCAGTGCATTATCCGTGTATGCACGGAAGAAAAAAGATCAAAAAATTTGTCCGTTTTTTATTAATTTTTAAAAGAAAGAATATGTCACTATTTTCCTATATATATATATATATATATATATATATATGAAAAAAAATATTTCTATAGCTACTTTAAAAAAGGTTAACTCCAGCTACCCAAAAACTACGTCATTTCGATTAATGAAGAGTGTTTCTGTAATTTTAAGTGAATTAATGAAGAGTTTTTCAATAAAATGTATAAGATAAAAAAAATAAACAAAATTACAAAAACACCCTTCATTAATTCACCTAAGATTACAGAAACACACTTCATTAATTAAAATGATGTAGATTTTTGGTAGCTGTAGGTAACTTTATCTAAAGTGACTGTAGAATTATTTACCCATATATATATATATATATATATATATATATATATATATATATATATATATATATATATATGAGGTAGGCTATACTTACAACTTTTTTTTTACAACCGTTGATTTTCGCTAATTACCGGTTATGATTTATGCAAATTAAATTCATTAATTAATTATTAATTCACAATAAATGATAACCGTTGATTGGCGGAAATCAATGGTGTTAAGATATGTTTGTAAGAGGTTGTAAAAAAAAATATTGTAAATATAACTTTTCTCTCTCTCTCTCTCTCTCTCTCTATATATATATATATATATATATATATATATATATATATATATATATATATATTAGTGTATTACCCGTGCAATGCACGGAGAGAAAAATAAATCAGTTTGTCTATCTCGTAAAAATATAAATAAGTCATTTTTATTTTTTTGCAAGTTAAATTTCAAATTTCAATTATTTTTTATCAACTCTGCATATATTTTTATAATTTTATATTATGTTAAATTTGTTACATATGTGTTTTTTTTCACTGTAGTAACATTAAATGCCGAACTCTTTTCCTACCCATCAAATTCAAAAATCAAATTTAAATAGCTTTAATTTTAAATATTAAGTATTTTTCAACAGAGTAGAAATAATAATAAACAGTTAAACACTACTAATAGGCTTAACAATTTTACAGGTAGAAAGTAGTGAGAAACATTAAAAAAAGTCCGTAAAACTTAATGTGGATGGTTCCAGTATAGACAGTGGGCAAAGGACTGCATGTGGTGGAGTCATAAGGGATGCTGCTGGGAACTGGTTAACTGGTTTTACAAAATTCCTTGGGAGTGGTACTTCTACTTCAGCGGAAATTTGGGGGTTCTTGACAGGTATGGATCTGGCTTGGCATAAGGGATTTAGGAGAGTCTTTGTGGAGGGTGACTCTAAGGTGGCTTTGGAATTTATAAGAAAAGGGTGTGACGTAAGTCATCCTCTTTCTGCTTTAATAATCCGAGCTCGTAGCATGCTTCAAAGAGACTGGATTATTCAGCTTAGTCATACTTATAGAGAAGGCAATTTTGTTGCTGATTGGCTTGCTACTCATGCACCTCATCAGGATGGACAGCTAATTGTGCTGGATGTCCCTCCAACGGCTTGTTTGGAATTGCTTCGTAATGACTTGAGGGGAGTTAGTCTCCCAAGATTGTGCCCAGCATAGGGCTTTTTTTGATGTTGCTTTAGTTTTCATTGTATTTCCAAAAAAAAAAAAAGTCCGTAAAATACTTAATAACATCTTTTTACGACGAAAGAGTTGGATTTTCACTGAATAATCATTCATTTTTACAGTGATTAATATTTTATAATTAGTTTTTTACAGAATGATAGATGTCATTTTTTTATTTAAATAAAATGTTTGTATTATTTTGTACTTTTTTTTGTGTCTAATTATTTTGTATCAATTATACATATATTTTGAAAAAAGTATTTTTATGATTTAATTTATAATTTTTATATTGATTATACACATATATTTAAAATATTAAATATTTACATTAATATTTTTTATAAAAATACTTGTATGGATATTTTTTTTCTCTTTTTATATTATTTTTTAGTTAATTTTTTATTTTATTTTATTTTAAAGTATAAATAATTCATTCTTAATTTTTTGCAATTAAATTTCAAATTTCAAAACAATATATTTAATTTGATCAAAGTTAATCAAATGAGTTTCACCTTAAAAGTTAAATTTTACATGTTCATTATCCAATATTTACTCGAATAAATAATTTACTAAAATAGATTAATGAGTAAATGACAAATATTTATTCAAGTAAATATCTCATAAAAGGCTAGATTACCAACAAAAAAAATATCACACAAAAGGCTTGAGGTAGTTTGTTTCCTGTTTTTTTGGGCTTGAAGTCTTCTTGTTTACCAAAAAAAAAAAAATATTCACACAAAAGGCATTGCATCAATTAAATTAAGCAAAATGATATTAAATTAAAATGTGGTATTAAACTGAAAATTATTGTTAAATTTATTGAGTCAAATTATATTTAAAATCATAAAAAAATTTAATTGCCTGGCATAATCTTTTGCAATCTTTAAAATTCAAAAAATATTAAATTTATTATTAACAATAATAATTTTTCTATTGATTTTTTCGTTCAAAAAATTTAATTCACTACTATTTTATTATTAAATAATAAAATAAATATTTTTGAATTTGTAGAAATTATGAATAATATCTTATAATTGTATTTGAAATATCTTTAAATTCAAAAATAATAATATGCTAGAAAAAAAATTAATTTGAATTTTTTGAATTCTAAAAAATTGTGCCAAAAGAACTATTTCTAATTTTAGATATTATATAACTAAATAAATTTTATAATATTCGAGTCAATGCTGGGACAGTGACCAAAGTGCCACGCTTGGACAAAAAATTTACCAGACTATCACGCCAACAGTAAATTTTGTTAAAATGCCACGCGGCATAATTCGCCAAAAATGTCACAGTGTAGCGAATTTCTCAAGATTTGACATGTGACATTTTTGGTTATGACGTGACATATTTCGCTACACTGTGTAGCGAATTACTTGCATGCATAATTCGCTACACTGTGTAGCGAATTATGCCGCGTGGCATTTTGGCATAATTTACTGGCGTGGCAGTTTGATAATTTTTTTGTCCAAATGTAGCAAAATGGTCACTGTTCCTCGATGCCGGACATTATACACTCATGACTCATCTAGTCAATTCGATCAAAGGGAGATAAGTTAACATAGAATTTAGAGTAAATATAACAAAAAAACACGGTCCCCACTTTAGTCCCTTGCAAAATAAATTAATCAGTTAGTCCCTAACAAATTCAAAATGGAACCATTTAGTTGAAATCGTGGTCCCTCACCAATTCAAAAAAGACCCATATTAGTCCCTCGAAAGGACTAAAATGAGTCCACTTTGAATTTGTTAGTGACTACCTGACTAATTTATTTTTGTAAGGGACTAAATTAGGGACTAAATTAGAGACCGTGTTTTTTTTAGGGACCAAAAAAGAGGTTCACTCTAGAATTTTTGAAAATGAGATAAATTGGTAAAAAAAATTTTTTTGAAACAAACATAAATTGGTAAATTTGTTTAAAAGAAGAGGGATTTGGTGGATCAGATCTGCTTATGTTTAGATTACAAGGTTTATAAAATTGTGTTTCGACTTCCGATCGATCGATCGCTCGCAAAGAGCAAATATTGAGGCGGCAAGGTTCATGGCTTCCTCTTCTTCTCCACCACCACTACCGGTATTCACCACAAAACAAAACCCTCTCAATTTGCTTCATGCTCATGACACTTATGTGTTCATATATCTAGTTCTATTTATTTGTGTGATGTGATGTGGTGTGGTGTGATGATCAGGAGGGTTTATCTCAAGAAGATTACGACTTAATCTATGGCTCTCAATCGGGTTGGGTCGATGCTCGAACTTCATGCGATCACCTCGCCTCCTTGTCCGCAGATCTTACCCACATTCCAACCCCTCATACTCCCTGCAACAGGTTCGCTTTTTCTATGACATGGGTCTTGTTCCAAATTCTACATTTTACCATAAAAACCTAGTCTTGGAGTTGAAACCTGACAATTTTTTTTTACGATGGACCTGAACGGTACCCTCAAAGACTTGGCCATTCTGCTCAGTTGGTTTTTTGGTTCATAATTTGATTAAAAGCAAATATGTATTCTGCACTGCACAATATGAATTAAAATATTATTGATTATCTAATCTCCAAGTGAATTAAACTTTTCAGGTGCCAACACCCGAGTGAAAATTGGTTGTGTTTGTCATGTAAGGAAGTGCTCTGTAGCCGTTTTGTGAACAAGCATATGCTCCAGCATTTTCGGGAGACTAATCATAGTGTGGCGCTCAGTTTCAGGTATTGACATGTTTTTTGTGTCCCCTGACATGCAAATTTTATCGGCCAGTCTATCTATCTATGCTTGTGCTGCCCCATTAATGCACTTTGTCATATAGTGATCTGTCAGTCTGGTGTTTCTCCTGTGATGCTTACTTGGATGCTCAAGTGATTCCGCAACTGCGTCCTGTTTATGAAGTAGCCTATATATTAAAATTTGATGAGCCTCCACCACTTCGAACAAATCAACATCCTTCTGCCGGAGATAACCAAGCTGAAATTTGAAGGTTCATGCAGGAGTTGAGGTTTAGAATAGTCCATTGATTATTTGCTTATATTGAAGTTTTTGAGAGGATCTATATTCCTTTACAGGTGACTTAGGATCTTCTAATCCTACATTTGGGTAGGCCATTTTAAGGGAAATATAAAAAATTTTGCGTATTAGAAGTTGATTCTCCTAATTCCCGATGGTTCCTTTTTATTCCCTCTTCTGCTTGCACAACGTTTTGTAACCTTAGGTAGCTGATCTGAGAATGAGATTCCTGTACTGTTATGATGAACTACTGAGATAATGCGGTCTTATAAAAGTTCATAGTATTTTGGCTATTCTCAAAATCCAATAGGATTTGTAAAACTATGTTGTGTTCAGCTTCCTTGGCTTGGATCCTTTATTAACTCTATTTTCTGGAAGTTGTAATGACTTGTCTGTGGTTATCTTTTTTCTAGATAACCTATGGTTCATGACTTCTTGCTTTGGATTTAGCTTGATAGTTGATTTCTGTTTTCTTTGTGTGGAGGCTAAATATTCAGACTGCTAAACATGTCATGGACTATTGACTTGTTCAACCCTGCGAATTAGAGTAGTAGTAGTTGTTTTGTTGATTAGGAATGCACGAGTCAGTTAACCATCTTGCTTGGATGAACTTTCTTTCTTCTGTACATGGCCTACTAGTGTTAATTCTTGTGACTGAGCCTATTATCTAGCCTAATGAGTTCTTGAGCATGGTTTGAGTTCTGCCCGTTTAGATGAAGAATTTGAACCGAGGGTTATAATTAGTATCTGATACCTGAGAGGGGGACTCATCCACCAATTACCTGTGAATGCCCTGGATTTTTTTTACCCTCTTTTCCCGCAACTAACTTATAGGCATTTATTTATTGGGGAAGGGACTAACTCGTTGGCTTTAGCCCTAAATCCAGGTCCTTAGACCCTGATTTGAGGAGTCTCTAAATCTTGATGTCAGATTTGACATATTATGTGACTTACACCACTGCTCCTGAAGATCAATAAAATACAATGAAATATTGGATTGTTAACATTTTCCGCTATCAAAATAATTTTGTTCCTATCTATTTAAATGTGTATTTTCCTAAACTTTTACATAAAGAAAAAGGTCTCTTCCTAAAATATTATTGTATTCACACTCGGGGGCGTTTGGTATCCGGATTTTTTTGCACTACCCGAAAAAGCATGGTACAACAAAAAAGAAATCCGTGTTTGGTAAGAAAAAAGAAAAAAATTCTAGAGTACAAACTTTTTCCAGCAAACCATGTTGTGTGCAATTTACAGTATGAAATGTAAAAGTGAAGTTTCATAGATTAGATGGAACTATTTCGGTCCCGAGAAATAGAAATTGGAGCGTGAAATTATTGATGAAATTAACCTTCAACACAAAATCATATTTCAAACAAAACATAAAGCTGGGGTTATTTTTGTAAAATAACCTCACTTTCCTACTAATATTTCACAATCAATCAAACACGTATTCAGTAAAATTAACCATAAATTTTCGGGAAAATTTTAGCTTACTAAACACCTTTTACTAACATTCAAGAAAACATATATTTTTCAATTATTTCTCGGATTTAAAAAAAAAAACCTCTACAAAAAACCCCCTAACTTCAAGTACATTCTGCTCACGCTCCAGCTTGTCCCATTATGCTCCATGGGAAAATTCCTGTTTGCCTAGCCTGTAGTAGAAAGACTATATGGTAGTGTTTGATCGGGGAGAAGTGAAAATTTTGCTGGCAAAGTGCATGGGGAATCTGATGAAACAACGTTTGGTTGAAGCTTTTTGGTAGATTTGCCCATCAATTAGCTTTGCCTAGCAAATCATGAAGACAAGCAAAAAACGGGTTTATGTACTGTTGAGGAAGCCGTCTGAACATGTGGAATTGCTGTGAAAAAGGTGATGAAGGCATGACAACTTTACCCCTCCTTCTTTTGTGGTTCGAAGATTGTAATAAAATCAAGGTGTTTTTACAATGATAGTTTTGTAATTTCATTAAGTTTTCCCATCAATATTTTATCTTCAACCAAACACACATTCAGAAATTTAATTCAATTTTCCTGGTAAAATTTTGTCCAACCAAACGACTTTTTTAAAACTTTCCTATCTAACTCAATTTCCCTGCAGATCTTTAGTATTTACATTTTTCTAGTATTAAAAATTTTCTCCCCAACCAAACACTCCCTGTATGTATTTTAAAAAAAGACTATCAAGTCCAAGTGTCGTGAGAATAAGGATTTCAGGCCACTTAGCATGTAGGACGCGGAAGTGAATCAACGTTATTCTGTAAATTTTTACAATTCGATCCATTAATAATTTAATAAGTTAGAATTAGGAGTTAATTAATTAAAAAAATTAAGTTCTTTGTTAATTGAGATGAGTTTGAGTTTTTATATATCAAACTAAGTTAAGTCCCAACTCATATCCACCTGCAAGTCTGCAACTGAAAAAAGCAACCCCTTAAGTATAAACTATAACAGTCAAGTAAATCAAAGCGCTGACCATGTCTATCAGTTTTTACAAGGTTGAACAAATAATAATTAATTTTAAATTCTATAGAGTATGTTATATTAGTAACATCTATTTGTTCTTTAACTTTTTTAATATAGAATATGTTAATATTATTAAATAATGTTTTATTATTATACTGTAATTCTGTAATTTTTTTCACTTTATAATTTGTCTTTGATGGTACTTTATGGATCTCTCCACTTTTTGCAAAATGGATCTCAGGTATTTAAAAATATCTTTTTTGGGTATCTCTTGACAAAGTAGGTGCATAGGATCTTGGTCTTTATCTCTTGCTAGAGAAAACTCACACTTCAGATACTCAGTCTTGTTCCCACTTAACGTGAAAGTTTTCTATTAACACCGTCTTTGTTCTCATAATATCATCTATGGCATACACTATGGCACTTACTCTTGAATATTTTTTTGTTAGTTCATCCATAAAAGGCAAAGAGATAATGACCTAAAGCTGAATCTTGATATACATCTATTGCGATAGAAAAATAACTTGATGTTCCATTACAAGCTTTCACACAAGTAGTCGCCCCATCGGTACATATCCTTGATTGCCTTTATATATATTATTACTATTTTATTTATTTTATTTTTATTTTTATCTTTTTTCAACTCTTTTACATCTTTTATTTGGGTTTACATGCTACCGATTTTAATTAATTTGGAATAAAAGTGTTCTTGATGTTGAAGTTGATGTTGATGTTGACTTTGACGTGGATCACGTTGTTAAAAAATGGCCTCGTCCATTTGATGTGATGTCCCAATCAAAAATTAAAAACTTAAAACATTGCATAATTTGCACGTGGTTGCGGACATAACAAAACCTTATCAATTCTCATGAAAAGAATATAGATATTCTTCCCCCCATTTGCAGCGGCATCGCGTTGAACACGTTATTATAGAATAGAATAAAGTCAAAAGTTTGGGAACAGATCTCAATTGGAGTAGCTTGAGCCTTGATCTCTGCAAGAAAGGGGTTAATCTGAGACTGAGAGCATCCTATGTTGGGTTACTTGAAGCAAAAAACATGCAAGACTAAGGCGCACGCACTTGTTCACTAACCCTTCTCAAATCAAAATAGGTACTTTCCATTTCCCATGACAGTATCTGCTTTGAAATAAATATGATACAATCCTATCTGCTATGTCATATACTCATATGTGTTTGATTCAGCTAGGGGAGTTAACAAGTTTTAAACTTTAATCACTTCCTCACCTGTCTGTGGATGGGTGCAGAGGGACTAGTAAGTGATGTGAAGAAATCCAATCCAAAACTAACATTATTACCTCTCATAGCTCTAATCTTCTATGAAGTGTCTGGGGGTCCTTTTGGAGTGGAGGATTCAGTCAGGGCTGGAGGTGGTCCTCTTTTATCTTTGCTTGGATTCTTGATCTTCCCTCTAATCTGGAGTATACCAGAAGCTCTGGTTACAGCTGAACTTGCCACAAGCTTCCCTGTCAATGGCGGATATGTTGTTTGGATATCCTCAGCGTTTGGACCCTTTTGGGGGTTTCAGGAAGGATTTTGGAAATGGTTCAGTGGGGTTATGGACAATGCACTTTACCCGGTTTTGTTCCTGGATTACCTGAAGCATTCTTTGCCAATCTTTAACCGAATGATTGCTCGAATCCCTGCTCTTTTAGGGATCACCATTACACTAACTTACTTGAATTACCGAGGCCTTCACATTGTTGGCTTTGCTGCTGTTCTGCTTACCGTTTTCTCACTTTCCCCATTTCTCATAATGGGTATTCTTTCCATTCCACATATTAGGCCCAGGCGGTGGCTTGTTGTAGATTTTAACAAGGTGGATTGGCGAGGATACTTCAATTGTATGTTCTGGAATTTAAATTATTGGGATAAGGCAAGTACCCTTGCAGGAGAGGTTGAAAATCCCAGTAAAACGTTCCCAAAAGCACTTCTTGGAGGACTGGTTTTGGTGATGTCCTCATATTTGATTCCACTACTTGCGGGAACAGGTGCTTTGAGATCTTCGCCCAGTGAATGGACAGATGGTTATTTTGCAGAAGTGGGCATGTTAATTGGTGGCTCTTGGCTCAAACTGTGGATTCAAGCGGCTGCTGCTATGTCTAATTTGGGCTTGTTTGAAGCAGAAATGAGCAGTGATTCTTTTCAACTTCTAGGGATGAGCAAGATAGGAATGCTTCCAGCTGTATTTGCTTCAAGGTCAGAAATGTTTTATGCCATGGCTTCCCTTCTTATTAGTATAAGAATTTTCTTTTCCAAATAAAACTTAAAGGAATCAAATTCAATTATTATTTTACCCTCTTTTATCTGTCAATGAAAAACCTAGGCATGCTGTGTGACGGGTTAACTTATAGCTTATATCGATCATAAATAATATTTATAGATTATCTTCCTTTAGATTAGCTCGTGTATAAACAAAAATTATGCCATTTATACTTCTATGAAAGTTATTTGTTTTGAAGAATGGAAGGAATCTTTGAAGAATTTTCCTAAAAGGGAATTTGTAGTGTCTTTAATACCTTTTCCTTTAGACTTAACTGAGCGCGCTAGATGAAAATTTTCAGTATTAATGTTAATTGCTTGAATGAAAAAGTTTCAATGATTTAACATTTATATGATACTATATACTTTCTAGGTCTAAGTATGGAACACCCACTGTTAGCATTTTGTTCTCTGCCACTGGAGTTATCTTCTTGTCGTGGATGAGCTTTCAGGAAATCATCGAGTTCCTCAATTTCTTATATGCTGTAGGAATGCTTCTTGAGTTTGCAGCTTTTGTAACTTTGAGATTGAGGAAACCAAATCTTTATAGACCTTACAGAGTTCCATTGGGAACATATTGGGTGGCTATGCTTTGCCTGCCTCCTGCTTTGTTGCTTATTCTTGTAATGTGCTTGGCTTCTTTGAGAACGTTCTTCGTGAGTGGAGCAGTGATTCTCGTGGGGTTTGTACTGTACCCTATCTTGGTTCAAGCCAAGACTAAAAATTGGATACTGTTTGAAGCAGAACCACCTTCCTTACCTTCCAATGGCTTGCAGCAATGCCATTCGGTTATTTCAGAACTGGTTGACCAAGAAAACAAGGATGTTGAACTTCTTGTGAGCTCACCATTTACTGGTGTGGAAGAAGAATTGTCTTTAGTGCAAAGTGATTCTAAACCAAACTAGCAGGTTCTTATCTTGACGTAATTTCTGTAAACAGTTTACAATATCCATGTAACATATTTTGGCCTTCTTGGACATTACTCGGGTAGCAAGAAAGGGGTGTGGTTTTCTATTATGTTGAGCCAATTAATTCCAGTACGTAAAGAAAAACTATTTTTTCTATTTACCAACAAAAAAAAAAAAAAAAACTATTATTCAAAGAGCAGAGGTGGGCTTGGGGAATGGCTGAGCATGACATACCGAATCTTGTTTGTGTTGTAATTTACTTATCTTTAACATTTGTTTTTACTATTAATTTATAGTTAAAATTGGTTTATAATTATCTTTAAAATATAACTTTGGGGTAAAGTCGAAGAATATCCTTAATGTAAAATTTATTTATTGTAAATGGGAAAGTTGTATGTAGTTAGAGAGAATAAATATTCTAACAACATGGGGAAAATATTACGCATGTAAAATTTTGTCTTTTTTTTTTAGGGGAACATTTGTTTATTTTATCTATACTATTGTGAGTGGGTTTTCATATACACCATACCCATCGTTGGTTAAATGATTATTTTGCTTCTCCACTTTAATGTTCTATTTGAAAATATTAATTTTTTTAAATAATATTGATAATTGCCCCGTTGCATAATTTATGCTTGATTTGATATTTCATATATCAAATTTTAACTGTAAATTTATAGTTTGATGTATTTATTATATTTTGTTTAGTTTGAACTTATATTTAATATATTTTTATAAAGATTAAATTCTAAAATTTTAGATTAAAATAAATTAATATCTAAAGTAAATAAATCAAATGATAAAGAAAAACTCAATAGTTTAAATAAGGGGGTTCGTTTTTTCTGCAGTTACTGCAGATAAGTTATTTGCAGTAAGCTCAATACGACGTTTTGAGGCAGAAATCATAGTATTTTTGTAATTTTAATTTATTTTAGAGTTATAATAATCTTTATATTTATAATTTTTTAAAATCTCAATACCAAAATGACGTCGTTTTGGGAATAAATGCAGATAACTTATTTGCATTCTGCAGTTTTCATTAAAATTTGTATTTATTTAGTTTGTTAATATATATTGTAGTTGTTGAATAAAAAAATAATCAAAATTGTTGTAGAGTGATATAACAAAATTTGCATTTCACATATAATAAATATAATAATTGAAACACTAGAATCAATAATATGGTGTGAAAATTAATTTCCCACTAATACGAAACGTGAAAATTGAAATGAAATGAGAAAACCTAAGAGGCCGTTTGGTATAGAAGGTTTTTTTTTTATCGGGAAAAAAGATTTTTGGGAATATAATGAATTTTTTTTTTCTTGAGTAAGTTACAAAAAATTATTTGGTAATTCCAAAAATTTTCTAAAAATATTTGGTTAATTATACTGATTTTCTGAAAAAATAAAAATGTCATGTATCAAATTGTATTTTTGTTTGGGATTCTGTAGTTAAAACTGAAATGATGAGAAAAAAATATTTCGGGAGAAAAATTTTCAATTTCCTCATACCACTGGATGGATCATGGTGTTGGAAAATTCGTTCCCTCAAACTCCAATATCAAGCGGATCCAGGGGGAGCTAGTGGCGGGAGCCCGTAACGGGAGCCACCACCGATGAACTAAGGCTACACCAACCGTAGCAAGTGGATCCGACACCGTGTCTCAACCCAAAACCTTAAGGCAATGGGTTCATGGATCCCTTCCACTTATATATTTTTCACTTAGCTCATTAACAAACCAATGTGGAACTCATCACACTTGAATATTCCAACACATGGATTCTGCCAAATTTCCTATTGACGGCTAAAATGAACAGCAGGATTAGGCAGCTGCATACTATTTCAATCCTTTTGAGACGCTATCACACTCCTGTACGATCCATGATCAGATGTAGCTTTTAATGAGCACAAAAGCCCAACTCTGTTTCGTTCTTTCAAACTTCAAGCATAATTCCGAGTCTAGTACCGTCAAATAGTGCGACGCTGTTCTGTTCACAAACCTGCTAAATTTTACAATTGTGTAGCCTAGTTCTACTGGAGTTGCAAAATAAAATTTGGCAGGGCCACCCCTTCGTACAACTGTGCTTGATTGTAAAAGAGTTATTCAAGTAGCATTTTACATTTTAGACAAATATTTTTCTTCCTTTACCAAACTAATCAATCTGAAAAGGGTTTACTTTCCGTGACAAGATAATCTTTGAGGTAGTGTTTGGTAGAAGATTTATTTTGAGATTGATAGGAAAGTGTAAGTGGATATAAAAAAATACCACGTTTGGTTCAGGTTTTTGAAAAAAATACTAGGCAAATAGGATAGATGAGAAAATGATTTTTGTGTTGATTTTTGGATAAAATTCACTATTACAGAGTACCACTTGAGATGTGGTATTTTGAAATAACTAAGAAAGTGAAAAAACATGTGCGAAGTTTCTTCCGAACATAGATTTTGCAAATTTAAATAAATTTCTCTGATAATATTCCGGTCAACTAAATAACTTTTTTTACATTTTTCTACCAAACTCATTTTCCAACTATTTCCCTAGTAATTATATTTCTCTAGTATTCAAAAAAAATTTCCTCAACCAAACGCCCCTTGAGGGATTGAAAATAAACTATTTAAGTCTTTTACTTTATGTGGTACAATAAGCAAGTTTTTTTTTTTAAATATATATATACCTATGAAACATGTTTACTTAACATCATCCTAGTCAGAAACTCGCTATGCTGTCTGCAACCAGAGGCAGATGCTAATATCATCTTATTTATTAGAGATATCGACATACAAGTGTGACATATTTAGATTCATTTTGTGGCAAGCATACATTTCTGATACTGCTTACTGCCCGAGTATAGAAAGCCTCTTCAATGCAGTCTGAGGAGGATAGGTGAGTTCTAGCTTTCTTCAGCATCCAAAATCATAAGGCACCAGTCCTTTCAGCTCTGGACCGTTGAGTCTGTTATTTTCAAAACTGAAACACGAGAAGCAGAAATATATAGTGAAACTTACAGTAGCAAGAACTCTGAATTACTCCAGCTTCAAATTAAAAATGTCAAGATTCTGTGCCATAGTATACTTGTTACGAATTCGAGTGGGTATTCTAAGAAGCAAGATAGCTTGCAAATATATTAGTGTATTCCATCTATAAAGATTTTTATTCGAATCAATTATTATCTCATGCATGCATGATGCATGTCAAATATGATCATCAAATCTCTGTTGTGAAATAAGCTAGGCACTGAAGTGGTGGACAAAATTTACAGACTAGATACAAGTCTGTTAAGACAAATGATACTTGTTGATATGCTTAACAAGGCAAAGGTTCTTGAAAGTGATGCAGAATTGCAGATGCACTAAGTGAATGCACTTGATATTTTCCGGGTTTTCGTGTTGGAATTCAACAGAAGTACAGAATCATGGTGTATGGTGGTAATGGGTCTTGGTTTGACTGTACATGAGGAGATTGACATGTTTGATATAAGAAACTGAATTCTAATTTCTAAGTTTTAAATGGTTAAACAAGCATATTTATCAGGACATGTTTGACTTATAGGTCGTTTGAGTTGTTAAGAACATGCTATATCCACAAAGCTACTAAGATAACAATTATAACATTGTTACTATACCTCTCCAGTGGGAAAGATCCGAAGTTGCCATCTACTGGTATTGTTCCACAGAGGTCGTTGTTAGAAACATCGCTGCACAAAAGGGGTTTCAAATTAGCTTATAAATCAATTTAAACCAAAAAAAGAGAAAGAAATAAAGAAAGAAAGAAATTGAACTCGGATTTCTCCATTCCAAACCCCAACACGAAAAGAAAGGAAAATAAAACACAAGAAAAAGTATAAGGGAAAAAAAAAACTTACAAGATTTTGAGATTTTTAAGATGAGTGAGCTCTCTTGGGATTGATCCAGTCAGCTTGTTGTTGTTTAGCCGTCTATATAATCAATGCAGAAGAGTCAGCGAAATTGAAAACAATTCACACATCATTCAATTCAAGAGCTCAAATGTTGGAAGTTTTTGTCCTATCAACATAAAAATGCTTACAGGAATTTAAGTGACTTCAACTTGCCAAATGACTTTGGGATTTTTCCTTCCAATTTGTTACCGTACAAATCCATACTAATAATGTTCTTCAAGTTTCCAAGCTCCTCAGGGATCTCCCCACTTATGTTATTATTATAGAGCTCCCTGCAATGAAGAATTTCAGAATATTTCACAGGAATGGCCCACAACTTGATACTCTCCAAAAGATAAATATCAATTAGTATATGTTTTTTAAATTAGGCAAGGGAAGAAGACCATACAGGTATTGGAGGTGGGGTAGCTGGGCAAGTTCTGGGCCCAAAGTTCCAGAAATGTCAGAATTGCCCAAGTCCCTGAGATTCAAAGAATAAAAACGAGTGATTAGATTTAGAGGCATAACACTAAAACCAGTAACTGAAAAGAAAAAATTAAATTGAGGAATAAACACAGAGAAATAAAAGAAGAAGGGGAAATTTACAAGCGAATCACATGATTGTTGGAGTCACAGGTAACGTGGAACCAAGTACAGGAATTAACCAGGGTTGGGTCCCAGCTCTGCAGCACGTTGTTGGGGTCATAAAGCCTGCTTCTCAAAGCATGCAGAGCATTTCCTACAAAGTAAAAGCGAAATCAACTCTCAAAACTGTATTTTTTTGGTTACCCAACCAAGCCTGCGTAACTGCGTTATAGTCAACAAGAGGCAAAAGGAAAGTGCTGAGTTTTCAGTTTTGAAGCACAGATTATATTTTCAATTTTCATTAATAACAATAAAAAAAGGTCATAATAGGAAACACAAGAAGAAACAAAGGATTTGGGCAAAACGACTTTGAATCAGAGTTCTCCCGGTCCCTCTGGATTTTCATTTTTGAGTTTCAAAAGAAAAGGAAAGGGAATATAAAGAATACAAGATGGTAAGGCGAAAAGAATGAGTTTTGCAAGTTTGATCTAAAGAAAAAGATGAGAAATGAATAATACCTTCGGAGTTGGTTGAGAAGGCTAAGAGGGGACAATGAAGAATGAGAAATAACACAGAGAGGGAAATGTAAAGAGCCATTCTTCCTCTGTGAGCAAATTTTTTGGGCGAGAAAGAGAGCCTAAAAAGAAGAGAAAAAACAATTAATAAAAAAAAGGAGAATGAGAAAGAGAAGAGAAGAGAAGAGAAGGTTAGTGGATGACTGGATGGCCAAAGAGACGAGGGAGTCCAAAGTCAAAATAGAGGGGCTGCCAATGCCATTCACCTTCAAAAGTGAAGTCGTGTAAAAATAGGTTAGGTTAGGCTTTACTTTAGATAAATTAGACTTGTGTAAAAATATTGGGTATGGCCTAACATATTAGTTTGTGTAGGTTTTAAATTACAAATTTTGTCTGACTAATATTAAAAAAATAAAAGCTTTGGCTTAGGCTTGTTAGTCTGCCTATTAAACATTTAACAATCGAACAAATAATTAAAATAATATTATTTTATTATTCAAAATTATTAAAATAATAATTTTATTTATTATATTTTAAATAAATAATATGATATAGGCCGACTTTAGACTTATAGGCTCGACATTTACAAAAAAACCTATGACTTGTTTTTTAAATAGATTTTTTTAATAGTCTAGACCTGTTCTATTTTATTATTTATAATAGGTCAAGTCTGATCTAATATAGGTTAGGCCTCTGCAGGCCGGCCTAGCCCATTTACACCCCTAGTTATGTGGGTCCTTCACCAAAATATATAGTTATATACATTAAAACTAAAATCATTGTTTTATATATATATATATATATATATATATATATATATATATATATATATATATATATAAACCACATATATTCACCATAGACAATTCTATTTGAGGCGAAATTATTTATATTATAGTGAGTCTAGTTTTTCCAAAAAAAAATTATATTCATATATACTTAAATATTTTTGCAGTTAACACAGATAAGTTATATGTATTTACTTCCAAAACAATGTCGTTTTAAGATTGAAAAATTAAAAATTATAATTATAAAGACTATAATAACCTTGAAATAAATTAAAATTACAAAAATACTAAGATTTCTGTCTCAAAACGACGTCGTATTGAAGTTACTGCAAATAACTTATCTGCATTAACTGCGAAAAAGCGAACCCACGATTAAACTCAAAACTTTAATTAAAGTGAATCAAATCATCCACATATAAAATTAACCTCGATGAATAATAAAAGAAAAAGAAAACTTTTCTTGTCACATGAAAAAATTTATTTCCTTCAAACCTCACGACATGTAATTTTGAGGTTTGAATCAAAAGTAGAAAGAGTTCTGAGGATTTTATTTTTTCCTTGGATTATAAATTTTCTCAAAATATCCACATTTTTCGTTTTGGAATGGCAATAGATAATTTTATATTAATGGAAAGGAAAAATACTAAGTCTATAATAAAAATCAGATAAATATAAAATAATATGAGTTTCCGTTTCCGTTCTCCTCTTAAGTGTGGATCTCCAAAGGCAGTTTTAGACTTTTAGTTGGGACCTATAAAAGTGTACCCACGCTGTAGCTGCCTCTGTCGTGTGGTTTTGGGCGGAGACTCGAAAGGAAGACTAATGGAAGTTGAAAAGCTGCCTTCAACTATGGACAAGATAGAGGACATAAGTTCCCTTGACCTTGCACAATTTATGGTCTTCTTTTTACCTCTCATTATCTCTAAATTATTTATTTTACCCTTAGCATCCCTACTAAAACAATGTATTATTTAATTAATTTATTTTTTGAGCATGTACTATTTAATTTTGATGGTTTAAGTTTTGACTTTGCCATTTTAATTATTTGTTGGTGTACTTCTACTCTAGTAAAGTTTGAAAAGTAAAATATTGGTTGTCTCCAAATAAGGTGGTAAAACGGGTAACTCGTGTGCCCCGTCATTGAATAACTCGATGCCTTTCAACCCATCCCTACCCTCTCCAACTTAGGGATGTTCATTAAGTGATGAAAATCGATTCAAACCGCAATAATCGAATCGGAAAATCGATAACTGCTAAAGATAGAGTCCATATCCCAACAGAAAGGAAGTTAAATCTTATTACAACTGGGAGATCTACACAAGCCCAAAAGGTAACCCTTATAAATAAGAGGTTAAAGATCCCAGGTACATACTCTGAACTCATTTACTACTTCTACCCACACTGTGCATACACCCACGTCTCGGCTATAAGTCTATTGCTTGTGCGCAGTGATGGGGACATTGGCTATAAGCTAACCAAGATACCTATCCATAGGATATCTCTGAGCGCATACCCTTGAGGTATCATTATACGGTTTAATAGAACCGAACACATAGCAAAACACATTCACAAACAATGACCAATATCGTATGATTTTTTTTAGAAAAGCCCATTTTGGTTCCTGACAAAAAAAAAATATGGACCTCACTTTCGTCTCTTACAAAAAAAAAAAAAAATTTGGTCCATCTACAATTTCAATTCTTTAAAATTGTGGTCCCTCAAAAATTCAATTAAGACCAAATTTAGTCCCTAAAGAAGGATTAATATGAGTATTTTTTTGTAAGGGCAAAAGTGAGAATCGTGTTTTTTTGTTAGGACTCAAAATGGACTTTATTCTTATTTTTTTTTTAAAAAGAGAGAATTCATTAAAATAATAATTTAATTGATTTTGATCTGTAAAGGTGGCACGTATCATGCTTATGGAGCCCACATGGTATAAAAAATAATTAGATTATATTAATTTGATAAATAATTTTCAAATTATATTATTTTAATATTTTTAACAAAATTATATTATATCGATGAATCAGCCTAGATGCTCGGTTTAATTTTATTTACTTTAGTTTTATTTAGTTTATGATTAATATTTTTAATTTAATTCAGTTAATTGATTCGTTTGTGATATATACATAGTCTTTCCCGATTGTTCAATTTCCCCAAAGGAATCATGTGCTTTTCGGACTACCTTCTTGGATACTTGAAACCATCAAATTCTGGCTTTGTCAAGTAGTCCAATATATTATTCACTACTCACGAGCGTCACGAGTGTCTGAATGAAGCTTAAAAGACGGTCTGTATCTTGTGTATTATAATTTGCACAATCCAAATCTTATATGGCGTGTGTAGACTTGTACACAAATAATATATTTAAAAAAATTAAGACTAGATTATGGTTAAACATTATTTTTAGTCACAAGAAAAACAAACTAATAATTTAATTTATCATTGGATTAAACACAGCTTGCTATATACCTATAATCTAAACATGTCGGAGTATAATATAAATCTGAATTGGGTTTTAGAAGCAAACTCAGCGGTTAATTAGATACATGTGCTAAAAACTCCAGCTTTGTTAGCTAATGTAGTCGGGCTATTAAGAAAAATTCTCTCTTTATTTTTTATTTCTTTACTGGTTTATCGATTAATCAATTAATTTAGTCGATTTGTGCAAGTCTTAATATCAAATTTTTAATATAATAATCTTTAGCCTTCACCACACACGGAATCGAATTTACAATAATAATGTACATATTAAAAAAAAATTATACTTCAAACACACACAAAATTATCTTTTATTTGTGATGTTAGTATCCTTTCACATGATATAATTAAATTAAATGACACATGAGAATTCCATATTTGCATATATATTGAAAGCAAATTTAAACGGTCAATATTCTTGATCACTCTGTGTCATCAGACTCCAATTAATTTTTAATTTATCTCCTGAGAATATCTTCAAATCTTGACGTCCTTCTTACAGTTGCGTCAAGAAGACAGAATGAGCATGAACTGACCTAGCTTTTCTGTCATGGTGTACTTATCGCTCCCTCTCCTACGACAAAAAGACCCTGTAGCTTGTGGTTGTTGAGGAAAATTGCGTATGTACAAATGAATACTAAACATAAATCACGAGGTGAGGTGTGGCCATCAGTTAACAAAACGAAGTAACTTTTACTTAGTGCTTGGGTTTGAAATTTATTGGAAATATCTTAATTAGTCTGAGTGTGTGAACAAGTGAGTCTTTTATTTTTAGTTTTTAGGGGGGAAAAAAAACTAAATGCAAAGCAACTAAGAAAATAATTTAGCCTAGAATCTCCCGTGTACTGGAGGCGTTTTTTTGGCTTGGGTTTGGGTCTGAGATGAGAATTGGTCAAGTCAATCTATTTAAAGGCATTATATAATATTCAATGCGAGGTTGTGTTTCTAAGTTCGGACCATAAATGCAATTTATGATCCCGCGTTAATGTAACGACGAAAACAAACTTGAGGATTGTGAAATGAGAACAAGATCCTCAAGTCAACTCAAATGTACAGATACTCTAGTTTAATTAATGGTTGGCAACTTTTTTTTTTTCTAAATTGGTGGACACTACTTACATTCACAAAGAGGCACGGGACGAGACACGCCTATTTTTTCTTTTCTTTTCTTTTTTCTAGGAAAGGTACCACTATTATGAGATGTTGAATTCTTTATTAAGAACTTAAAAAAAAAAAATGAACGAAGCAATTGAGTTAAATTAAAAAAAAAGGTTCGTGCTAAAGGATACGCGAGGAATGTCGACCAAGTTTTGCCCAATACCTTGAAAGCGTAGTACAATTTCTCATTTGCTTCTCAAAGGACGAATCAATCCTTGTAAAGTAACTTGGTAACATTTATATTCACACTTCGGCTCAGGAGATTTTTTTTTTTTTTTTTGAAGTACATAAAAGTTTACGAGAAACTTTTTATTTTTAGTGGCGTATAATAATATAACAATGTACCCAATGGGTGCAGCTCAGTTGGTAATTTGGCGCTGAGTTAGTGGGGTTGGACATGTGTTCGATTCTTGCTGAATGCATTTTTGGGGAGGGGGCTGAACCTTTAGTCATCACTGCTCTCCCGCACTCCGGATTAGTCTCATAGCCGGCTCAAAGAGTCGAAGCTCGTGGGGATACCGGAGCCAATTCGCCTCAAAGAGGTAATTAGGGTTGGGTAACTCCAAAAAAAATAAAAAATAATATAACAATGTTCAATGTTACAGTTATAAATAATTGTGATGGATGATGGCTGATTGACCATATATGAATTGAAGTTCGAAAATAAAAGTACCATTTGAGTCTTTCATCAAAAAAAAAAAAGTACCATTTGAGACCAAATTTCAATATATTTACCTAGTTCACGTGATATCCAGGCAAATGCACAATTTTTTGCCAGTGTAACTCTTTAAAAAGAAGTTACACCTGTTGACATGTGGTAATCAGAAAATGACTCCTATTTTATTTAAAAATATATTAGTACATTAATTAAAAAATTATTTTAATTAATTCACTATTTATTGATTCTAATATCACCATCAATTCGTTATTACTACATTAATTTCAAGTTTAAAAATTAATTTAAATACTCTGGCTGGCTAGCTTTGACTCCGCAAACATTGTTGTTGTTCTTTTTTACTTTTTGTTTGTTTCTGTATTATTAGTACTCTAACAATTAATGCAAATAGATTCGAAATTACTGTAATAATAATTTCCATAGCTAACTGTTTAGTAGCGGAGTACGCCATTTTGTTATTTAAAGAAAAAGTATGCCAATTTTTTTATTAAATTATGTTCCGCAAATTTATATATTATAGTTTTCATGAATTTGAGTAATTTTCGAAAAAAATAAAACTTAATGTAATTATTTGATTTTTTAAAAGAATATAAATGCATAGAACAAATCATTAAGGAAGCGTTTGTTAAAGCGGATTTTTTTTGGTTTTCCGGAAAAGTAAATTTGAGAAAAGTTGTATGCCATGTTTGGTATAAAAAAAAGGAAAAAATTAATCTTAGATTACATGTGATAAATTTTTCTCCTACACTTCCTTCCATGATTGTGTCACCTCTTTCTTTTCTTTTCTTTTTATTTTTTAGGTAGCGGAGCCCACAAATTTGTCTCTATGACATGAGATAACTTATCTCCTTTAACATGAGATTAATAAAATCCTAAAAAAAAAACAAGTTTCCTGTATAAAAATGTTCCCCGTTCTTTGGTTTTGTATACAAAGTTAGGTACAGCAATGGCAATCTTTTGTCATTGAATATGTTGAATACTTTTTTTAGTATGGAGATGTGAAAAGCAAAAGCCAATGAGATGATCAAAATGACATTATCTGATTGTACAATGTGTGAAGATATGGAGTTGGGTGAAGTGATATAGTGGGGTTATTTTTGTAAAGTAACCTCACTTTCTAACTAATATTTAACAATCAACCAAACACAGAATAATAAATTTAATCATAAAATTCTTAGGAAAATTTAGTCATACTAAACACTTCTTACTAAAATTTCGATAAAAATATATTTTCCTCTACATTTCAGTAATAATTTTTTGTTAGATAAATAAAAATTTCTTTTCTATGAAACACTCCTAAGTAAAATTAATTTATGATATGAGTTAAGAAGCAGGCGAGTTGAGGAGGAAGTTATTAATGCATGAATAGGTATTTTTGAAAATGAAAAAAGGAATTTGAAAAAATTGACCAGATACGGTGAATGAAGGGTGGTATGGAATATGGATGAGTGTGGGCACAAAGACGCGTGAAGGAGTAAAAGGTAATTAATTGTTTGTATGTTAGTCGTCATCCATTGCTAAGTGAGTAGTTGCCTAGTTGGGGTTGCAAACTGCAAACGCGGCATTATATTCAGATAATATGACATAGAGATAGAGAGACACAAACAACACACACACACACAACAGAATACCTAATCTAATCATCAATCAATTCAGTTTCCCTTAAAATTCTCTTCTCAACAAAAGAAATACAATATTATTATTATTATTATTATTACTGTTATGCTACGTTTATGCGGCCGCTCGCTGGAGCGTTGCTTTGGATGGCAACGCTGCGACGCTCTTCTGTGGCACTCCGACCTCAAGCCTCACGCCTCCGGCGACTTCTCCATCGCCGTCGTTCAAGCCAACTCTTCTCTCGAGGATCAGAGCCAAGTCTTTACTTCCCCTTCCGCCACTTACATCGGCGTTTACGACGGCCATGGTGGCCCCGAAGCTTCTAGATTCGTCAACAAACGTCTCTTCCCTTATTTGCACAGTAACTCACTAACTATTCTTCATTTCCCTTCTTCTTCTTGTTGTTTTTTTGATGAATCAATTCAATTCAATTGCAATTATAGTTAGTTGAATAATGGATGGATTGTAGAATTCGCGAGCGAAGAAGGGGGTGTATCTGAGGAAGTGATAAAAAAGGCATTTAGTGCGACGGAGGAGGAATTCATGCATTTGGTGAAGCGATCTTTTGCGATATTCCCGCAGATTGCATCGGTAGGATCGTGCTGTCTGGTGGGTGCAATTTGTGACAATGTATTGTATGTTGCGAACCTGGGAGACTCGAGAGCAGTCCTTGGCAAGAAGAGAAAGAGAATTTCAATTTCAATTTCAGATTCAGATTCAGATGCAGAGACTGAGAGTGTGGTGGCAGAGCGCTTGTCAGTGGATCATAATGTGGGTGTTGAGCAGGTCAGGAAAGAGGTTCAGGCTCTTCATCCTGATGATTCACACATTGTCGTTCATACCCGTGGTGTCTGGAGGATTAAGGGCATTATACAGGTTAAGCAGCAGCTTGTGTCTGGGTCTGGGTCTGGGTCTGGATCTGGGCAGTGTTTCTCTAAACAGTTTGGTTTTGCTTGTGCAGGTTTCAAGATCTATTGGTGATGTGTATCTCAAGAGACCTGATTTTTACAGAGACCCAATTTTTCAGCAATTTGGTAATCCCATTCCTTTGAAGCGTCCTGTGATGACAGCTGAACCATCAGTCATTATTAGGGAGCTTGAGCCACAAGATTTATTCCTCATATTTGCATCGGATGGCCTTTGGGAACAATTAAGTGATGAAGCTGCTGTTGAGATTGTTTACAAATATCCCAGAGCTGTGAGTGTGTCTGTCACTGTGTACTGTTGCTTCTGAACTGCATTTACATGGACTGCCACTTTCTTGATTCTAACGGTTCTGGTACTTGCAGGGAATTGCCAAAAGATTAGTACGAGCTGCTCTTGAGGAAGCTGCAAAGAAAAAAGAGATGAGATATGCTGACATAAAGAAAATTGACAAGGGAATAAGACGGCATTTTCATGATGATATCACTGTTATCGTAATCTATCTTGATCACCACAGGGGCTCCTCCAATGGTAGATTTAAGCAGAGTGCTGTTGGCTGCACAACTGCCCCTGTTGACATCTTCTCCCTAAATGAGGATGAAGAGGAACAAAGCATGCTTGGTACCGTTGCATAAACATAAAGAGTGAATTTGGAATCACAATATTTAATAGGTATGGTATAGATCAAATATTGTTAGTCAAATGAAAGGGTATTCTTGAATGTAAATGAGTAACCGGAAGTTGCTGACAGATTCTCGCTCAATGTATAGTTTTGAACTCTCCTTTTTAGTTTTTCTTATATTATTTTCATTTTCTTTGGAAAAATAAAACAAATTATATTGATTGATTAGTCATGGTATTGTCATACTTCCCATCTTTGTCATGAGCAACGATTCCGAGATAAGCCTTGATGATGTCTCACTAGCTAACAGGAGTTGCAGTCATAACCTTGACTGTGCCATTTCTACCATAATCTGCAGAAAATTATCACAATTGTCACCGATTTTTTTTTCAGAACGTCAAGTAGGCAATTTTGTCAGCATCATGAAAAACATGAATAAAAACCGATAAATACAATTGGCGTACCAACTTTGATTCTATAAGGACTGAAATCAATTAACAAAGCTTAAAAAGAAATCAAATCAAATCTTACTTTTATAAACTTTCATTTATGAATTAATTTAAATCTTACTTTTTATAAAGAGATTAAAGTTAAATTAAACTTCAATTTTAAATGATTCAAAAGAGGGCCTATTATACAGAAATGATTTCAGTTTCTTGTAAATAAGTCTAACGACGTCGTGAATCGTCATCCTCTATGCCAAAGTCAATGTGCATTTGACCTCACCCGCGTTTTCAAACTTGCCCAAACGAAGTGGCCTCGCTCATTCAGGCAAGAAACCAAACATCTAGTTCATTGTGTCACTCTCTGCAAATTGTCTTCATAGAGATTTGCAACTTGTTCTACGGTACTTCTTTAACGTGTCACCAGAATTTTCGTGGAAGTTACCCTCTAAAGCTGGAAAGATACTTATAAATTGCTGAGTCAAATGATACTTGCACATTTAGCGGAGCACAATAAGAGTTAAAATGAGTAGTTGGGTGGTACGTAGAAGCAACGTAGAAGAAACTTTAGTCCACTCTTTCATGTCCCTTTCTCGGTTTGACCTCTCTAAACAAATTATTTTCTTTTGAAATTATTTTTTAAGCAATGAAAAGTTAAACCTCACTCGTAATGAGGTGTTATGTTAGACGTGTTATCTTAAATGATTTGATCACAAACCCAGTTTGCAGTTCTTATTTGGCAAAATCTATGAGCGACCGACTGGAATAGTTGATCAAAGACGTGTGAAGAGGATTTTCTTCGAGTGCAGCTAGGTCTATCTTCCTGGATTCATTCCATTACTGGAATGCATCTATCCTTGTCCAACAGATTTTTATTTTAAATAAAACTTAGAAAATTAATCCCATAGATTTTGATTTTAAATGAAAATTTGACTGAAAATATAACATTATAATATATGAAGGAGAATATGGTCCAGTCCATCAGACTAGAAGTTAAACAGGGTAATTATACTTGCGGTGTCTTTTATTAATTGAGGTTAAAGTTGGCCAAATCCTTACCTAAAAGAATACCTGCTCACGTTCCTGGTTGGCAATATGCCCATGCAAACTATTGTTTTCTTTGAAGATTTATGAGTTAGCCAAACATGTTATCATTTGATCTTCTAAAATATGAGTACCTCACGAGTTTCAGAGAGCAGTTTTTAGTTAGTTGAGCTCATTTTATACACCTATAAAAAAAAACCCATTCAGGAGTTTGTTTCAAATATCGTTTACACCAGAAGGGAACAGGCACTGTAGAGCCAAGTACCTTCAGATTTATTATATATTATTTATAATTAGCTGCAAGATTAATCGCATCATTGGGAGCTGACATCGAAGTTGAAGCGGAGCCAGCTATCTTTCCTGCTGTTCTAAGTTCAAACAATCGACTCAGATGAAGAGGTTCGTCAGGCAACTTTAAAGGCCATGCAATATGCATTGCTTTTAAACAAACGAAACTCAACACAAAAGGCGTTAAAGCATAAGAACTATAACAAATTTGATAGTCAAACATAATAATATAAAGACATTTCTGAGTCCAACACGACAATAACTAAGTTCTGTTTCATGATTCATCAGTAGTTGAAGAAGAAATCCGTTCATCAAAAAGGAGTAATCATTTTTCATGTAATTCCATTAATTAAAATATCCGGGAGTTAGAAGAGACAAAAGGGGGAGAAAAAATATATAACTAGTAACTACTAACCACAAACCAGAGCTTAATAAAAGACAAGTCCTTCAAATTTTAATCGTTAAGTTTAAAATTCAGACAAACAGCACTCGTAGCTGCAGGAACAATCTTTAATAGAGCTCCCGAAGCAAAAAAATAAAAACTCAAATACATTGTAACGGATGCACTACGTTACAAATAAGGGTAGGATCCTTTGACACTAGTGTCAAATTTCGAAATTTGACACCAAATCCCAACCTTTGATTTCCGTCAATCAACGGCTATCATTTATTGGGAATCAAACTTATTAATTATTATTATTAATTCCCAATAAATGATAATCATTGATTAACTGAAATCAACGGATATGATTTGCTGTTAAATTTCAAAATTTGACACTGATATCAAAGATCCTGCCCCTTACAAATAATATCAGAAATACTGTCATAAAAATTACTCTATACATGTTTTTTTCTTGGTAACATTGTTATATAGTCTATTCTACAAGTTTTTGAATATCAGTACCAACCCCTCCCCATTCTCTCTGTACAACCTCTGCAGACATGCTGCTACCTTTTTCAAATACATTGGGTTAATGCCAACCTCCATACCCAAATATTATATAACATGACAACAAAGGAGAAAGAAGAGACTAAGGGCATCAAAAAACTGGGGCCAAATAAACATCAAAATTCCAGTAAAGATTCCAGAGAGTCATGGAACAACTTATGGCCATTTTTTTGCAATTCTATCTAGTAACCTACTTTCTTCCTCCTTGGAAACACGTGGGTCAAGATTACCAAGGTTTTTAACAAAACTTTTTCCCTCATCTTTCTGATTGAGCTTACAATACCAATCAACGATGGAGTTGTAAGTATTCTGGTTGGGCTTACATCCCTGCTTGATCATGTATCGAACTACATCAATAGCCTCAACAAACATTGAGTCAGCAGCATAAGTTGCAATAAATGTGTTGTAAGTTACAACATCAGGAACAAGTCCAGAATCTTTCATTTCAGAAAATATCCGGGAAGCCTCCTTCATCCTACCATTTCTGCAATATGCATAAATAACAGTATTGTATGAAATTTTATCAGGTTTCATACCTTTCTCCAGAACATCCCTTAAGATTTCTTCTGATTTTTCGAAGTTTTCAGAACGACTGTACATGTACATCAAGCTATTATAAGTAGTCAAACTTGGAGTAAATCCAGTCTCGTACATGAAGTTCAAAATCTCATTGGTTTTGGTCACCATCTGCTTCCTCCCATATATTGAAATCATTGCATTCAGAGTAGATATGTCAGGCGAAATTCCTCTTCTCCTTAACTCCAGAAAAGAGCGTTCTGTTTCCTTCAGGAGATCACTCTTGCTATTTACGAGAACTAGTGTCTTCAAAAGAACAGCATGTGTTTCAATAGAGCCAGAGTACATCTCCTCAGCAAAAGCAGTCATCCTTTCAATCTCCTTACCATTGGCATAAGCATGAAGTAAAGAAGAGTATGTCAGCTCATTAGGTTTACACCGACCATCCTTCATTTCAGCAAGGACTTTCTCAGATTGTTCCCAAAGGCCTCCCCGAGCCAATGCTGCTAAAACAGCATTATAGGTAGAAAGATCCGGAGCCACTCCAGCTTCCAGCATGCTCTTATAAACAGCTATTGCTTGGTCAAAGGAACCACACCTGCTGTATGCACTTATTAGGGTGTTGAAGGTGTCCCTCTCGGGCATAAACCCTGCTCTCTTCATTTCTTTAAATACTCCCGAAACCTCGGAGTCCATTCCATTTTGTCCAAATACAGCCAAAAGGGTGTTCCAAGTAACAATATCAGGGGAACACTTGCATACCTTGATCTCCTCAAAGACTTTCATCATCTCCACAAACTTTCCTCGGTTACCATGCATCTTAATAAGGGCATTAAAGGTGCAAATATTAGGTTTGCACCCTGCTGCTCTCATTTCTTCGAAAATTTTAACGGCAAACTCATCTTTTCCGGCCTTCTCAAATCCCGACAAAAGGGTTGTGTAGGTAAAAACATCAGGCTGAATCCCTTTCTCCAGCATTTGGGTTTTAAGCTCCAATGCTTCCCCCAACAAACCACCTCTAGCATAAGCCGATATCAATGAATTGTAAGTTACACTGGTAGGGGAAAGCCCATTACTTTCCATCTCTATAAGAACCTGCATAGCCTCCTTGGGGCGTCTGGACTTGCCAAAAACATCCAATAATGCATTATATGTAACCTTGTCAGGAGTGAATCCCGCTAACTTCATCCGGTCAAACAGGTGGACAGCTTCTTCATACAAAGAACCACGACGACAACAACTTATAAGCGTATTAAAAGTGTACAAATCAGGGGCAACCCCATCTCTTTTCATAGCATCAACAAGAGCTGTGATGTTAGACCAAGGCATGCCCATTTTGCCATAAACATTCAAAATGACATTAAAAGTGATCAGAGTAGGTGTACAGCCATCTTGTTGCATCTTGTTAAACGTCTTGACGGCGTCCATGTACCTGCCGTTACTGGCATAAGCAGTTATCAAAGAAGTGTAAGCATAGACATCAATCTCAAACCCATCATTTTCAAGACTGAGGAGCAAGGAGGCAGCGGATGAGACTCGACCAGCTTTGCCAAGAATGTTAATAATGACAGCGATAGCAGAACCACTCAAGAGGGGAACACAACCCTCCCTGCTTCGAACCCAATTAAAGACGGACAAAGCGAGTTCAAATTTCTTGTTAAACCCTAAACCCTTGATTATGCTCAAAATATCAGAAGACAAAGAAGCGGGATGTGGAAGGTCAAAAAGGGGACGCAAAATATCATCCAAATGAGTGGAATTGGAATCAAAGGAAGGATGATTTAAGGTTTGGAGAATATGCTGACCTCGAGGAGAAAGGCCATGAGTAGACCATGGCTTGCCGCGGTTGGGGTCGGAGGATTTGGTGATGGTGGTGCGGCGTCGGAGATGCGAAGAGGAAGTGGAATTGAGGTCTTGGACAAGAGTGGTTATTGGTGGTGGTGAAGGTGAAGGTGAAGGTGTGGGTGGAATAGTCATAGTCATAGTCACAGCCATAGGCATAGAAAAGGGTCTGGAAGGGGAAGGGGATGGGGATGGTGATGGTGGGTTAGGGAGGGGCAGAGGAAGAGCAACCTTTTCAACCATGTCCATGCCTCTTCTTCACTCGCAAACACAACACAACACCACACCGTCACCAACGGAAAATAGATATTTGCAATTACAGGTCAGTGAACCGCTAATCATTTTGGTGGGTTCATTTTTGTCTCACGGCCCACTACCCCCGGTTTTTTTTTTTTTTTTTTTTTACTCTCATATAATTATTTATTTAGGGCTAGGCTTCGCCCGTCCCAAATACACTTTTACTTTCCAAGTTTTTTAACGATAGTTATCAGCGCTAAAAAATATTTCAACTTTTACCCAAAAAAAAGTATATGTATTTCTAATTTCTTATATGAATATCAGAATATATGAACCATAAGAGTGGAATGAATAATTAAATTATACAATGTCTCTACCAACGTCTGACTACCTAAGATCACAATATATATTCACAGCTACTAACTATATACAACTCTAAAAAATATATACTGTAAATTCTTTTCGAAAGTTTTAGGTTCAATTTTCACTATAAGTATTCTTCATTTTTTTTTTTAATTTTCCGACCAAATTTATCGATTAATCCAATTCGAAAAGGCAGCTATAATTAATTTATTATATTAAGCACTTTCTAAGCATCACTAAATTATTTTTTATTTTTTGATAGCCAAGCATCACTAAATTTTTAATAAGACTTTGACATGTCATCATCTCTTAATAGACAGCTTTTCTTCCTCTTAAACTGTATAGTTCATTCATGTGAAGTTCACCAAATAAAAATCAAGCTTCAAGCCATTATATCGTGTGTACTAATGTAAAATTACACGTTCATTTTTCTTGTAATATTTGTAGGAATGAGATTAAAAAAGAGAAAAAAAAAAAAAAAAAGGCATTCAATGTCTGTTTCAAAATAAAGTAACACTATGTTTGCCCTTCACGGACTCACATTTCTTTATTAACAGCGTTATCATAAAATGAGCTTCCAAGTGGAAAAGTTCTCCTCCCCCATCCTTTTTTCAAGGAAGTATGTTCGCCATTTCATATAACTACTTAGTTTATACAGAAAATCAGGCAAATCAATGAATATTTTAAAATGGGCCTTGATCCCTACGAAAAGCAGTTCTAAGGCTATTTGGACGAAGAAAAATCACGATGTTTAGTTTGAAAAGAAAGTAGACTTGAGTACTTGACAATGAATTGTTGATAGCGGAGAATGACTTGAAAGAGAGGAGATTATCAACACTACCCCTCGAAAACTCCGATGGGAGCCCCCAAAATAAACACAAAACAGCTCTTAAGAAGAAGCAATTTGGAGGTGCTCTTAAGTCATACCAAAGTATCTACACATTTGATAAGGACTGTTTCCATCTCAGTCCCCATGACTAAGCACACTTGGTAAGGTTACGAGGTAATGAGTGTGTGTGGATTCAAACCCGTAACGCACTCAGTTTCCTATTTCATCATCTTTCCCCTTTATCCTCCCAACCAGTGTTATCAAAATCGAATTTTTACATAGAAACATAAAGAAATGGTAGAAACATAAATTGTAAGAACGATATGAAACTAATAATTTCTATTACGTAAAGTCAAGATACAAAATTATATATATAACGTAAATCACTACTCAAAATTCAATGAATAATTTCATATTTTAAAGATATAAATCAAGTAACTATGGGTTCCTCAATCCTTGTCATGGAACCTTCAGGAGGGAAAATAGTTTTAAGACTACTAGCTTATTAACCAACACAATACCCAAATCAAAGTGTCTAATGGTATGTACAAAAACAATATAAGCTGCCGCGTGCGTGTGATTCTGTGAACAAATTTAATACTAATCCAAACAACTAAACCGAAACGAATCACTATATACCTAGCAATTAATTAATTTATTATAATGCTTTCTTCCTAATCATATATTAACAATAAATCCCAACAAAATTAAAAAGAAAAAGAAGAACCAAAAAAAGTGCTACCCCATTGCCGCTTAATTTTTTTTCAAAACTAGCCAACAGAAGAATTTGCAATTCAAACTCAAATCGTGTCACCCCATAAATTCGAAAAAAAATAGGTAGTACAAAAGCAATCATACCCACGAAGTTAAGTCTTTCACTGTAAGGGTAAAGCCCATTCCAAACTAAGTGTAAAAGAAGTAAAAAAATTTAAACATTCCCCACCAATAAAACATCATAGATTGATTCAAAATTCACCTTAATTTGATACTCAAACTTTTCACCAGTAACTTCACCCTATTCTTTCTTTGCAACCACAGCCTCGCACCACACCGTGAGGGTTTTTTTTTTTTTTTTTTGGATTACATTCGGATATTCCCACAGCCAATAGCCATGAGACTAATCTCTCGCTCCGGGTCAGCACACAAAGTGGTAAAGAACTGGCCACGAAATGTTTTTCATTCACAAGAGTTGGGGTTCAAACCCCCAACCACTTGCTTAAGGGACAAGATACTGAACTATCACACCCACCCACGTGGCTTCTGATTTGGGAGAAATAGAAAATAAGATTTCTTTTTAAAAAAAAAAAAAAAACCAGGTTAAGGTTAATAGTTGACCAGATTCAATATTTTGGTTTAAGTAAAAACATAAAAACTTGCATTTCTATCATTTCTACGCAACGTTTCTACTGAAGAGCATTTTTACTTGCATTTTAACACGCTTCACTTCAATAAAATATGTAAAAACTTATTACAGTGGTTTTTAACAACAATACTCCCAACCCCTTGTGAGCTTTTCCCAGGGCCCATCTTAGTAATGAACCAAAAACCAATATAATCATCTCCAGAAATCTCAAAACCATATCATCTTTGTCAAAGGGAGTTGCTGATTAAAAATTCCTCAGCCATGAAACCAGTAACATGGAGAGGATACTGTAAAGACTTACTTCCAAAAAGGAGACCACATGGCCAGGTTACGGAGGGACATCAAAGTAATTATAAGGAGAACATAGCACCATAATATTTAACATGTCCAACAAAAACCTAACAGGTAGTTACTAACGCTTGTTGAAGAGCCTACATAACTTAAAACGAACTCTTCAACAAAGCTCGTTCTGTACTCCCAAGTACTTGAAAAACTAGGGCTAAAAGGTCGCAGGGCATAATATTCCCAAATTTAATTGTTTCATACACCAAAACATGACCTGCACACAAAAACTTAACTTAAACGAATAAATCGTAAACTTCAGACCTAGTGGCACATGCTGTCATTTAAGGAAGTGAGGGCTGATCAATCCAGCAATCTCAAGCATACCAACTTGATCTCTCCCTGCAAATAACTTCTTCAGCTTCTCATCACATCTTATAATCCTTTTGTTTTCAGGGTCCTATCAGAATTAGAAGTAGCAATTCAGTTAAAACCAATCCAAGGTTACATAAGTCGCGGAATCCATTTGTAAATTGCAAGACAGCAACATATTAATGGATAATATCAAAATAATGCACCCCCAAGTTAGAAAATATCACAGAAAACATCAAAATTTGTGGACGACTTGGAATTATTAATTAATTCACACTGCACTTGTATAAGCAAGAGTCTTCATAGTAAGCAAGTTAGCTAGCAAATGCTCTCAAGTCAAAAATAGCAAATGTTTTTCTCTGATATATCAAACACGGGAACTTTAGATGGCCCTAAAATTGACAATAGAATTCCTCGATATCAGCAATTATAATATCAGCTTAACAGAGTTACAGAAATGCATATTCCCCAAATTCAGAAAAGTTGTGCAGATCAAGCTATTAAAAAATGGAATAGCATATAAGTTAATACTTTATAGTTCATACCACAATGGATTAATTATTATGTGTCTTTCTAGAACACGTACAAGAAAGGTTAAACAGAATAAGTGGAGATCACTGCAAAAAAAAAAGTGTCGCCAGAGATGTTGGAAAAGGTCAGGGACAAACATTTGATTCCAACAGTCATGTAGTTTAGTCCAAAAAAATTTATAATAAATAAAATATGATCAGTGGTCTTGTAGTCCAGACTCCATTGGCCCCTATCTTCCTTAGGATATAGGAAACCCCTAATGTAGGGTTCAATCTCGAGTCTCAATATTCTTACCCTTTAAACCTCCTTAAAAAAGAAGCAAACTAACAATATATAACTATCAATCCACCATTATGAAAGAAATTAAGCTGTATTTACTTGATAAACACAGATATATGCATGCCCAAATACACATATAACATGTGAACACATCATATTGCAGGAAACCTGTTTGCAAATGAACTCCTAGCGCTGATCTATTATGACATAATAATGCCAAAATAGTAATCAATTGGCCAAACAGAAAGATGAAAGAACACAAAGATTGCGAGAAAACACTTTTCTCTTTTCTTAATTTTATTTAATAAAAAACAACCTAATAGGGTTCTCCAAGCCTTAAATAGGCAAAATAAAATAACAAAAAAGTAAATAATTATAATCAAGCGCAATCAAAGAAGATAACACACCATCAACACACACTCAAACATAATAAAAAATAACAAAAAGAGAAATAATTAACAATTATTGAAAAACCCTAAATCATAGAATAATTATAGAAAAGCCCAATTCAAGTCAGTCACCCATATGACTCACATAAGATCCTAAATAGGAGATAAGTTCATCGTGGATGGGAACTGTATAAAAAATGGTATAAGTTAGACCAATTACTACAGTGCTAGGAACAACAAGTTGTTCCGTACAACTTCTTAATTTGGAAACTAGATTGGTAAGAGAAACAGAAAGCAGAAAGCAGAAAACAAGATTAAGAAACTTGGTAATCCCATGTACATAATGTTCACCACGACTGAGCTACATAGCTACACAAGTTTCAAAACACCAAAAACAGGGAAAGTGAATCATGCCAACCCTAATAAAACCTTTTATTTTCATTATTAATAATAAAAACATAAAACAGCGAATGCCAAAAACAGAGCGTCCACAAAAAACAAATCATAAACAAGAATATTACAACTCCACAATGTAAAAAAATAATAATAATAAATAAATAAATAAATGACCACGCTAAACAGAGACAAGAGTTGAAGTCATGAAACCATCCAAAAGGTGCAAAAGATTTCAACTTTTTATGAACTATGACTAAGATTTATTTGGTATTTACAGAAGCTATCTACGCAGCCTTTACTTTAACAATTTCGAAAACAAAAGATTATGTTTTCAATCGAAGGGAGGGAGCGTTCGATTTGCTATAGTTCAAAAAAGAAAAAAATCTTATCCAAAAGTTTCTTTTTTATAAAAGAAAAAAAACCCAAAACACGGAAGGCAGGACCTTAACATTAAACGTGAAAAAAGGCAGCATCTTTGAAGAACAAAAAGCACTGAAGTTAAGAAAACGGAGAAAGAAACCTGAAGATTGTTCTCCTTAATGTAGGCCCAAATCTGCTTGAGTGCTTGAGTTCGAGAAATCTCGGAAACGCCAAAGAGGGCTTGCATCTCAGGGGAGATTTTGCGAGGCTTCATGATACCACGAACTTTTTGAGTGGATGGCTCAGAGATAGTGGCATAGGTAACAGGTCGCATTAAGCGGAACTTAGGATGAAGAGGAGCTTGAGGCCTTAAAGTTAAAGCAGAGGTTGATGGTCTTTCTGTGGCAACAAAGGTAGAGAAGAACCCCAAAGACATAGCCATGTCGATTACTCTGAGTCTGACGGATAGATAGCGTTTGCCTCTCAATTCCTCGAACAAAACCAAACCCAGACGCCTCTCCTGTACTGTGTGTTGTTGTGTGGTGTTGTGCTGTATAGTCACCAATCTTTTCAAATTTATCAATTGAGAGTTGGCCTCACTTATTTCTAAAGCCCATCAAATATCAATGATAAATTACTCTTGCAGCCCAACATTACTCGGCCCACCCCAAACAAATACTAATAAAAAAATTTAATGAATTATTATTGTACAAAAAAAAAAAAAATCATTGGCATTCAATTAGAAGTTTAGAGTATTAAAAAAAAAAGTCACATGGTATTCGATTAAGATTTTAAAAGATTATTTTAGACTACGTTCAAATCCGGTGGCATTCAATTAGAATTTTAAAGTATTAAAAAAAAGTCACGTGGTATTCGATTAAAATTTTAAAAGATTGTTTTAGATTCTGTTCAAATCCGGTGGCATTCAATCAAGGTGTTAAACAAATGAAAGATAATATTGTGATATTCAAAAAATCTGACAATTATAGTGGATTTTCTATTGTTGTGAATTTCGTAAGACTTTTTAGTGAAAAGTATAAAGAGGATGCCTCTCTCACAATCTCGCCCTAACCCTAGAGATTTTTTAAGATTTCTATTGCAGTGCTACTTCCTCTAGCCGATCGAATCATTCAAAACCAAGTTACGCCATGAGAGCTTCGTTAAAGCTAAAAAAACAACAGATTTTTAAATAATTTTCATTATAAAATAGGGAAAGGATATCATAACAACCAATTAGTGTTACTACCAATGTTACTGCCAGTCAATTTCATCGTTAGATCGAATATATTGATCCAACTGTTATATTTATTTTCATCTTTGCATGGTTATGGTTTTTCATATTTAATACTTTTTATTTATTTTCACCTTAGTATGGTTGTGATTTATCATATTTAATGCTTTCACATTAAATATGGAGAATCATAACCATACAAAGATGGAAATAAATATAACCGTTGGATCAACATAATCGATCTAACAGTGAAATTGATTGGTAGTAACACTAATTGGTTGTTACAATATCTTACCCCAATAAAATAACCCAGAATCAACAACCCAACAAGATTATAATCTAATTTATCTCAAAAATAACATATTTTTGAGAGTTTTGGAAGTTTAAAAAATGATTTTTCAAACTATGAGTTGAGATTTTTCTTGGCACAAAAGGTGTGATTTTTGTATTAAAAATAACATAAAATAGTGAGAGAAAAAATAGGGAAAGAAAAACCCCCCAACCAATTTTTGTTTTACATCAATGAAACAAGATTGATTTAAAAAAAATTAAAACTTTCATAATATATGAACCCTATGTTTCGTGTCCCTAAAAATTTATTTTTCAAAAACATCAAAGCATTTAAGGTTTCAATGTATCAATTGAAAATAATTTGAGAAAATTTCTAAACTTTCATATAATAAAACTCAAAAATTTATATTCGAATTTTTTTTAGAATATTTAATGAAAACATGCACATGATATATGGTTAGAAAATTCTCACCATGTAGAACAAAAACCCAAGGTTTCCAATATTAATAGCAAAAAATTTCGAACAGAATTTTATCATGAGCTTTAGGTTCTATATATGAATTTTGAATTATTTTAATAAAAAAATTGGGTCTTATAATCATATATGCATAACTCTGATACTAAATGAAGAAGATAATTTTCAACCATTGGTCAAATCCAAGAAGATGTTAATGCGTGGAGAGCTAGTATAGATACGTGGTGGAGAGATGTTGTTTAGTAGGATATCAAGTTAGAACAAATTACTGATTGAACAAATTATATCATGGTTTATTTTTTTTATTAATATCATTGTATTTCTTTGTTTTTTTATTGACTCTTGTAATTTTGAATGTTTGTTAAAAATTCATATATTTTTTAAGATCTTATAAATTCATATCCTCTCAAATCTTATAAATTCTATTAAAATTTAATATTATAAAATCTTGATTGTTAAAAAAAAATTAAAGTCACTACAATTCTAGATAGCCTTTTAAAATTTATAATTTTTTTATATTTCAAAATAGTTTATTAAAATCCTTATACAATACGCTCCCTAAACTTATAACAGATTCAAGTAGGCTAATTCCTACTAGGTTATAGTGAACCAGTGACCTATAACCCAATGGGGAATCCAAGAAAAGCTGATTTTCCCAATTATGATGATGAGAATGTGTTGCTAGCCAATTCATAACAGTATTTCCCTCCCTAAATGTATGAGAAATATGTATCCTGCAATCCATATTCCATACGGATCAAATCTTCGATGCGCTTCACCATGGGCCAAAGGGGGTGGTTTTGATGACATTCCTGTATGAATAAGTCTCCAGCCACTAATTAAAGAATCAAACTCTAGCCACACTTGTCTGTATCTAGATTTTCATGCCAAATCTAGGCCAAGGTAACAGGCCCAAAGCTCAGTAGTCATAAAATTACCACACCCCAAGTTCTTTAAAAAACCAAGGAGCCAACGCCCAATGCTATCCCCGAAGACTCCCCCACAAGCCGCTCTCGTACCAGTCAAAGTCAGACTACAAGAACTATCTACATTCACTTTTGTCTAGTCAGCCGAGGAAAAACTCCGCCTGATGAGAGTTAGCTTTTATAATTTCGTAACTTCAAAATCTTATGAAAGCTTTGAGCCCTCCTTAAAGGAGAAGAAAATTCTGTCTTTTTATTTATTTATTTTTATATTTTTTTAAATTGATGTTTGACAAATAATTAACAATGTGTGGACATCCAAAATTCAAATCAATAACCAATAGAGAGGCCCCAGGCTTTGAACATTTGAGCTTATAATTGCATAGATACACGAGTATAAAAATTTAGCATACTCAATATTTTTGGTATAATTGGAGGGCAACAAGCCCAGAAACAAAACAATACTGACTCACTACAAAACGCTACCACAGGCTTGCAAGTTGTTATCAACTTGCTCCTGCAGTATACCAGAAAAATCAAAAAGCGCCCTCTGCATCACTTGTAGTCGTGTACTCATCATTAACACATTGTTGATATATATAACATTTGATTAACATAAATTAACCACGTGCTAATATTTTGTTAACATTGTGCACACAAATACAGTACCCTAACTTTATACAATAAATCTCTGCTACATATAGCAACACCCAACATTTTAATCTAGTTCAATTACGATGAATTAAATCTAGTATCCTCAATTTATATTTCATTTATAATGAATTGAACTAGTTCAAGTTCAATCTTATACACACCCTAATCACTGTCACTCATCACTCTAATCTTCTTCAAGTAAGAATTTCTATTTATAACTACTTTTACACGCTGAGACACCATACTCACTTAAGAGAGCTACCTATTAGTATTAACAAAAGTTTATACTTTTTTAGATTTCTCACTCAATTCATCGATTACCCCACTAACTCAATTTGAACAGGAGCACGAACTTTATTACCGTTTAGAATAATTATATAACAACTATGTTAATTGCTCCCAATATTACAATTATCATTTAAAGATAAACAGCAACTGGCAGGTTCCTTCTCCATTCACTAGCCAGAATTTGTTGAAGGCTGTTGATTAACGACGAGGATGATTGATGGGAGTGAATACGACCAGGACAGAAAAGAAACGAGCTAACAAAAGGAGGTTGAAAAGTAGCATCGACCTTTAAACTAACTAACCCAACCAACACGCCACTCTACTTTCTCTCTGAGTTGATTCTGACCCACTTTTGTTAAAGTTTTCTTGCAACCTATCTAAATAAAGGAACATAGAAGACACTGCAAGCTCAGTTTCAATTTTTTATTTTATTTTTTTATGTGATTAGTATTACTTATTTCATAATCTCAAAAAAGAAAGAAGACATGAAATTTTACAATTATAACTAGCCAACCAACTGCATAACTTGTTTTTGAAATCACCCATTAATAGTTGTACCTATACCAAGTAAAAACATTTATCAATTTTCTCATGCAATGGTGGTTGAGGTTTATGACTTTTCCTAGTAATAAGCAAAATTCAGTTTGCTATGAAAGTGGACCAGTCGGTTGTTGAGGTAGAAACACACTTTCAGAGGGTATCCCCATGTAGTTAAGGTACACATATACAAATGTATACACTTGGCAGCTATTTAGTTATGCTTGGATGTGCAAAGAAACCTTCTGAAATGAAAGTTCGAACAAACTGCTGATGACGGTGCTTAAGAGGGTGAGAAATCTAATTAGTGAAAGAATAGTTTAACCTCTGTTCATAAGAGTCAACTCATCACATACTGTTTGTGCGTTAGTGCGTCTATATTAAGACAATAAATACAATCCATGCATGATAAGAAAAGAATTAGTGCTAATCATGTTTTCAAATGCTGACATGAAGTTTGGATTGTTTTCTAAGCAAAGTCTTCCTATGGCAATAACTTTTCCTTATTAATTAACACTGTTCCATTGATGTTTACCTGCTTTCATTCAATCAAAAGCAAACAAGACATGTGAATCCAAATTATCATGTTTAGTGCCAGCTGAGGCTGAAGTCCCCACCATAATTTGTGGCTATGGGGCTGTGATTATGGCTGCTATTCATTACCGATGCTAAGCTATAATCATCAGTTTTCAGTTTGACAATATTTTTCATACAACTGATGATTCTATAAATATGTATTTAATTTTATCTTTTATAGCAAATTAACAATTAATATCATATATCACTTGTATGTTACTCTGCGACAGAAAGATCAGTAGGACCCAAACTTGAGTATCTGGCCAGCTTCAGATCCACCATACCAACCAGTCCCTTAGCCTTGCTTTATTTCCTACAGCCCACAACGTAGCGTACAATTCACACATGCTTAGAGGTCCTGCACAAAATGAAGACGCATGACCCACATTTTTCACTTTGTTAGTTTATTTTAAGCTTCTAATTGGATTAAACATATATAAATCTTATTATTATAATAGTATACGAATATGCATATGTAGGAATATTTTTAAAGTTTTATTTTTTAGTATAATTAATGATAGTTCCTTTCCAAAGCATATTCTCTGTTTCCGCAAACCCAGATTGGGAACCGGTTGTGCATTGTTTGGCCCTTCTTCCTGCGAGCCCACATATACACATGCACATGTAGGAATAATTTCAATGTTTTATTTTTTTAGGTTAAGGGTTCGCAAGTTATCTACAGAAAATCTAATACGATATCATTTTGGGGCAGAACTTATGGTGTTTTTGTAATTTTAATTTATTCCAGGGTTATAATAGTCTTTATATTTATAATTTTTTAAAATTTCAATACCAAAACGACGTCGTTTTGTAAATAAATACAGATAAATTATCTGCATTAACTGCAAAAATACTTTTCCCTTACTTTAATTAATATGATAATTCTTTAATCTGAAGGTGTCGTCTTATCCAAATTACCGCCTCTCTCCTCACTAATTTATTCTTAATATCTTGGAATACTTTAGATTTTACATTGCTATTTTCCACAATATATAACAATTTATTATAAGAGGCACTTAGATCAAATGTATACGATGTTGAATGACGAGATTTAATATAAAAACTAGTTAAGTTACTGAGCATTACAGGGATTTTTAAAATTTAATGTCAATAATAATAAGTATTTTATTTAATAAATATAAAATTAAATATTTAATATATAATTCAATTAGTAATTATAAAAAAACTTACAGTCAAAACTTTTAAAAGAGAATAATTAAATAAAAATAAAAAATTAATATAAATATTTTCATAATAACATAAAATACAACAGAGAGAGACATATATATAAAGTTTAGTAATTTTATAACTTTATTTTATATTATTTATTTTAATTATATTTAGGTATATTTTTTTTTTTTGGTAAACATATTTAGGTATCTTTTTAAAATGAAATACATAAACATAATTATATTTATTTTGACACATCAATGATTTTTATTAAAATATAAAAAACATTATAATTACATTTTTTATATAATTTTTTAAAGGAATCTTAATTATATTTTGATATTTTTCCTATTAAATTTTTAATAAAATTATTTTGGCCAGAAATACTGTTGTGATCTATTTTTTATTTTTACTTTTTAATTTCATCATTTGCTCAATTTTTTGGAAAATTAGTTATCCGAATTGGTTATTTAAATCTAAATATAATCAACTTTAAATGCTCAAATTTCATTATTTTTCAGTTATTTGATTAAATTTACTGTTTCTTCCAAGAAAATAATTCAATCTCAATCTCAATTAAAAATGTAAAAATTAAATCTTCAAAAAAAATGTAAAAATTAAATTAAATTAATCTCATAATGTATTATGCAAGATTTATATTTAATTTATTATCTTATATATATTTATAAAAAATTTAAAGCACGTTGTTAATATTATTAGTGTAAATAAAATATGCAAAAGTATTCAAATACTGTTATCATTAGAACTTGTAAAAATAATTTCAGAACATGTAGTAGAATTTATAAATAAGAAAAAAAAAATACTTGATGGGTTTTGTATTAATATGTTTTTATTTTTCTCTATTTAAGATCAATATATGTAATAAAATAATACCTTTTCTAATTTATTAAAAATTAAATTTATTTTGATGGAATTTTTTATAAAATTAATTTTTAAAAGTTTGAAAATATGAAAAATCAACAAAAATACATGTAAGAAAATGAAATATAGAATAAATAAAGTAATAAACTAAGTTTTGTTTTTAAAAAATTAAGAGTTTAAAAAAATATCATGTAAATTTAATGGAAGAACCTTTATATGGAATATAAATATATAGATGATATCATTTTATAAATGTCAAAAGTTTTATAAAAAAAATCATGTAAATACGATTGAGTGGATCAAAGATAAACTCACGACCAATCTAAACACATTACATTAATGAATAATGTCATGTGGAGAATAACGCTAGATGTTTTTTTTTGGGATAACCGAGGAAAAGATAACGCTAAATAGATCACCACACTCCTGTTTGAAATGACAAAATCATAATATAAGTGTAAATAATGACGTAAAATTTTGTACACTTATTTCTTTTTTGGGTACATAATTTTGTACACTTATTAAATCATAAAAGTTTTGTATATGTGGAAGTACGTGTGGGTAGCTTAACCTAATTTCAGATCCAATCAATTCACAAAACCAAACCAAGTCATCGTTGGATTGGATTCGGTTGATTCCTGCAATGTGTAAATATTACCACGCTCAAGTTAAATAAACAGTTTAATTTGCAATTAGCACAATGATTTTGGTGGTTACTGCCTTGCTACCATAATTCGTGGTGGGTGCTCATGTTTTTTCGTTTTTCCTCCTTTATTGAGAAAAAAGAAGTTGAAATTATAAAACGTTTTTTTTTTTTCCCGCTCTTATGTCTTCAACAGCTAAGGGCTATTGCTCATCAATGAAAAATGAAAATAGACGTGAAATCCCTAAAGATTATTGTATTAATATTCGTGTGACATCTAAATAAAAAAGGTTACTGCTAAATGATTGTCAACTTAAAAATAAATTATTTTATATATTAATTACAATATTATTTTTTTTAAGAATAATTAAAAGTTTTTAGTGTGCTCTATCTTAAAAAAAACACATATTATTATTTTATTTTTTAATCATTTGTGTATTTCTTCATTATATTTTAAATATTTTTTATTTTTAAATATAATTTTCACATTTAATTCATATTTTTTTGTTGGTAAAAACACATTTTATTCATATTAATTATATATTTATGGGCAAATTTTATCAATACCTTGTGGTTTACTTTAGAATCACTTATGACTCTGAGGTTTTTTTTTATAATATATGCTCCTATGATTTGTAAAATGCAAAAAATCACATCAGTATATGTGATAAAAAATATACCCTTTTACAAATCACGAAAACATATGTGATAAAAAAATTACTAGGCATAAGTGATTCTAAAATAAAGCACGTGACATTAGCCAATTTTTCCATGTTTTTTTAAGAAAATTTTTATTGAAATATATTAATACTGGTGCTGTTGGTTTATATAATAATTTTGTAATTTGAAGTTGATGATGTCGAGAGTAAAGTGCATCGAAGAAGAATATAATTAAAAAAAAAAGGTTAAATAAGCATAAAAATGTAGTGGAAAGTTAAGTCCATTCCATCCATGTTGCAGTCCCACCCACCATCCGGTAAATTACAAGATAAAGGTCCGAGGTACAGGTGGCAGTCAGATAATCGTTAATTGTTTTGTGAGATGAGATGAGATGAGATGGGTCCCAATCCCAAATAAACCAATCTGTTTGGTAGCGACCCTTGTACGTATAAGGAGGAACCTTCCTTGTGTTTTGATCCAAACTTGTGTGTGTGTATTTGGCTATTGGCTATTTAAGCTGTACCCTCCTTCGTTCACCTCTCTTCACTCATAACATAACTCTCTATTGTGCTCTGCTCTGCCCTGCCACCTGCGCAGGTTAACCATAGTACCACTCAAAATGGATACACATTTCCATTTGTTCATTGCTTTAATCTGCATTGTGGTAGCCTGCGTTGGAGGCCAAGCTCCATCCAACTCCCCACCCTCCTCTCCTACTCCTACTCCTCCCACACCAACCTCCACTCCCGCTCCTCCCACTCCGCAGGGACAGGGCTCTCCCCCACCGGTTCAATCTTCTCCTCCACAGGCTCAGTCTTCTCCTCCTCCGCTTCAGTCTTCTCCTCCTCCGGTTCAGTCTTCACCACCACCCGCATCCTCTCCTCCACCGGCCACACCTCCGCCAGTCAACTCCCCACCACCTGCCTCCCCTCCGCCGGCCACTCCACCTCCTGCATCTCCTCCTCCATTTTCCCCACCCCCCGCAACCCCTCCTCCGGCGACTCCACCACCCGCAACACCTCCACCTGCAGTTCCTCCGCCGGCACTCACACCAACACCGCTCTCATCTCCTCCGGCAACTTCTCCGGCTCCGGCTCCTGCCAAGCTGAAGAGTAAAGCCCCAGCACTGGCACCCATCTCGCCGTCGGAAGCTCCCGGTCCCAGCTTGTCCTCCATCTCTCCCGCTGGCACCGATGATGTAAGTTCTCTTGCTCTCTCTATTCTTCTTCTTCTTCTTTTACCCTTGCACTTTGTGTGGTTCTGTTTGTGTTTGTGTGTTCTGGCCGTTATGATGTGGCAATATTACTCCTTCGTCCATGGACCTTTCTATTTCTTTCTCCGATCTCATGTTTTTAACTTTCCATTGAATCAAATCAATCGGGTACGTCCACGTGTTACAATTTCGGATGTTTTCTGCTCTGCTCTGACTCTAGATCACTCTGCACTCTGCATTTCATGAATATATTGCTTTCCTGAGATGCATTGGCTTTTTTTAAAGATTTCCTCTACTCTATCATTCCATTAATTTTCTACCTTTTTTTATGTTTTGCCTATTAAAACCCCTATAGATTGCGTTTTTTGGCAAATATTAATCAACTTTAATCGTGGCCATTGCAGAGTGGGGTAGAGAAGTTATGGTCCTTGCACAAGATGATTGGCAGCTTAGTATTCGGATGTGCTTTCCTGTCCTTGATGTTCTAGAGATCTGGATCTTTGGATTCGGTCGCTGTTATTTTGCTATTTGCCACTATATATTATTTTGTGGATGTTATATGGGAGTTTAATAATGTATTTGGACTATATACATTGCTTGCATTCTTGGGATATTTGAGGGGAGGTTTTCTATTTGAGGACACTTATTTTGTATCGCACTATTATTAGTTTATCCTTGCCTTTCAGGTTTTTCTTCCATTTCCTTTATTTGTTTTAATCTTTTATTCAAATATTGCTATTTGCATAATATTGTATTTAAAACTGTAGATACGGTTTCATGTGAGTTTCACTGGTCTCGCTTAAACTACAAATTCGCTTAAACTAAAAATGAAATCACCTCTCTAACTCTTGTGAATGGAAAATATTCCGTGACTAACTCTTTATCGTTTTGTGCGCTGACCCGGGGTGAGAGATTAGTCTCATGACTATCGGCTGTGAGAATACCCGGATGTAATCAAAAAAAAAAATGAAATCACCAATGAGGTTGGGGTTCTTTTTTTATGTGGTGCTGGTGGGATACTGATATTTAATCTCACCTGAACTTTCACTTAAAAATAATAATAAAATCACCTTTTCATTCAAAGTTGTAAATACAATAATTATGTAAATCACATTATTCTTCGTGTTATTAAAACCGCACGACCAGGACCTAGACCCTTAATCGATCCAATTTTGTCAATTAATTAGTCATGCATATAATCCACTCAAGAACTAGTGAACTTATCAAAAATTGAGTTCAACCGATACTAATTTGGTACCTATTTTTTTATTGAACCAATTTTTGAAATTTTTTGTAAAATATTTCATCACAATTGTACTTTTGGCATTCGAACTTGGCACCTGAAAGAAAGAAACTGACATGTTAATCATTAAGTCAAGTTACTTTGATTATTATATTATTGTTATTTATATATTTATTATATAAATTTATATAAATTTAATTTAAACAGTTTAATCAATGATCCATTAATTGAATCCATAATCTATTATTGATCCAATATCCCAACCAAGATGATCGATTCCGGTTTAATAATATTTGTTCTTCTAGTTGAACACTGTTTACTTGTGCCATTAGTCAAGAAACTGCTTGAGGCAGGGTTTGATCCCTGCATCAAACAATCCCTTGGGAGCTCAGCTGCCAGCTGAGCTACCCTTGAGGATGTAAAATTATTTCTCATCATGTAAGCTAAACTAAGCATATAATAATTATACGGAAAAAATGTGTACCATTTTAAAGGATGTAAAATTGTGTCATTTTAAGTGAGAGAAAGAAATACATAAAAGGAGGAGAGAGTTGAAAAAAATAAAAATATGGGTCCCACATCTTTGTGAGAGTGAAATGACTTAAATTGTGTCATTTAAAAGAACAAACATTTTCCCCTAACTATATATAGGCAAAATATGATTTTGGAAACTTATACGTTTTCACTGTGTTTTCCTTAATGTTATAGTTTGAATGTTACGTAAATAATATTGTTAAAATGAGTGATGCTGTGAAGCTAATTTTTTAAATACTTGATAAATAAAAAATAAATGTATTTAAAATCTTAAAAGTTAAAAATATTTAATATATATTTTATTTAGTAATTATGAAAAAATTAATCTTGAGGTTCCAGAATCATTTTAGATTTGGGATAGGTTATTGTGCCTACTCCTATTTTACCTACTTTTGCCTACCCCTTTCGTTACCGTTCGATTACCATCTCATCCAACGATTCATATTTGTGATATAAAATAAACCTTTTTTTTCCTTTCTTTCTTCTCACTTTTTCTCATACCCTTTCTCTCTCCTCTCCTTTCTCTCTTCCTCTACGCCATACCTATTTTTTTTTTTTCCCTTCTGCCGCCGTGGACCTCAATCTCCTGACAAACTGTTCGATTCTAATGATATTTTTAATCTTTATAAATTAATACGATTGAATCGATGACTAACAAAGAAGTTTTGATGTGATTCAAAGCGGTGGTGCCACAAGGTCTGTTCACAGAATCCTCCTTGTTTCTGCTTCAATATGTCGATCTGTTCTTCCACATGATAGATACTCTTAATTTCTAATAATTAATTGGCTATCTGTATCAACATAATTGCTGGAATGGCACCAATTAACCCTCTTTCCGGATTTTTCCAATATCAATTTTTTTTATTCTTTAATTTTTTTATTTATTTTGAATCTTTTCCAACTCTGCACAGATCTTTTGAATCACATTAAAACTTCTTTGTTAGTCATCGATTCAATCTTATTAATTTATAAAATTTATGTTGTTCTTCAGATCTAAAAATTTGTTGTGATTTTTCAATCCATTGACACTGGTAATTTGATAGAAACTGATTCAGAAGGAGAAAATTTATATTACAATAATCAAAACAGAGACTAATGTATATTGACGATGATTTCAAATGCTGTGGTAATTGATTTCAAATGCTTCCGCGCCGTTCACCTGGGCAGAGATTAACGATAAAGGGAAAAAAATAGGTATATGGCAGAGGAAGAGAGAAAGGGTTTGGGAGAAAGTGAGAAGAAAGAAAGAGAAAAAATGTTTATTTTATATCACAAATATGGATTGTTGGATGAGATGATAATCGAACGGTAACGAAAGGGGTAGGCAAAAGTAGGTAAAATAGGAGTAGGCACAATAACCTATCCCTTTAGATTTATATGTCCAACTTTTGTATAAAAATATGCTATTGGTTCTTTAAACCGGTGGATAATTCGATGTTTATGAAATTTACGTTTTTAACACAAAATTTAATCTGAGTAGCCACGATATGTTCCTTAAAGCATAGGCAGTTAGTCTTTGTTTTTTTGTTACTATTAGTCAAATCCCAGTATCGGTATTTCAGGGAAAGTTTTATTGAACCATTTTACTTTCAACTGGAAGATTTAATTTTACAGTAATGCATGTCTACGAGAATATCATGGGTAATGATTTAAAAAGGCTTAACAAATAAAACAGAGATTAGAAAAGGCTTAATCAGCTAACACTGGTTCTTTGTTATTAGACATTAGTAGCTTAAAAGTGTATATTTGATTACCCAAAAAGAGAGAGTGTATATTATCTTATCAATTAATGGGGAGGAGATAACTGAATTAATAACTAAAACATTTCACTTGCTAAAGAGTAGAATTTGAGCGAGAAAGTCACAATGCTACCACATAATAAACATGCTAGGGTTTAGTATGGAGCTGACAATGTGGATCTATTTCTCCCTCTTTAACTTCACAAAAAATAGGGTGGAGCAGGACGAGTTGACCTGCATTTGTAAAATAGTTGATAACACCAACCCAACGGATATGATTTTCTTCATCAAATAATGTCAGCTAAAGCTACTCAAGAAAATAAAAAAATAAAAAAATAAAAGTAGAGTAGTCAAAATATGTTAAAGTCCATGAGCCAGCACCAAAAGTCTCATAATTGGCCCAAACGCACAAAACCCACTCTGCGATAATTTTTTTAACCCTAACCCTCAAATTCTTATGATTTAGTGGGTTGGGCCAGGATTAATCCCCGAGCAATATTTTTTCTTTTATAAAAATGGCCAATATTTAAAATTAAATAAAATACAAAGATAAAAATATATAAATTTAAATATTTATAAATATAAAATATATTATAAAAAAATATGACAAATATATATTTTAACGATTCAGTAAGAATATCTTTATTTTAATTGTTGTTTTAACGATTCAATAAGAATATTATTTTAAAATTAAGGCAAGGTTAATAATTTATGTAAAAATTATCTTAAGAGTAAAAAGTATTATTTAAGAGAATCAAAGACCTATTATCTAATGCATTCAATGCAAATAAATTAAAATAAAATTTTCAAAAATATAATTATTTTTATCGTGAAAATAAATAAAGTTAAACATTATTTTATTTTATCTATTTAACTTTATTTGTTTTTTATATTTTACATTATAATAGTATAAAAAATTTATTTAGATAATACATGTTTAATTTATTTAAATAATATTTTTAATTTTAAATATATTTTTTAAATAAATAAAAAATGAAGATTATTTTAAAATAATTTCAAAATAAATAACTTTAAATATATTTTAATTTAATCTTTAATATTTAGTTTTATTGAAATTTTATTTAATAATATCATAATTATATAAAATAAAAATTAGGAAAAATAATTATATTTATAAGACCACAATGGGTCTAAAAGATATTTTTTGTTACCACCATAAGTGTAAGTTAAAATTTGAAACCACAATGTGTTAACTGATAAACTTATTTAACCACAATGGGTATGAGTGATAAATTTTAACCACAAAAAGTTAAATTATAAACCATAAAATCACAAGGGTGAAAATGAAGTTTTCTCTAAGTTATATTTAGAAAATAATATCTTCAAAAATAATTTTCCTTTATGTAACCAATAGAATGAATAACAAACTCACTTGATATATGATTTACATCGGTTGAAGCATGAAATTCATCTGAGTTGGTTTGGATTTTAGATGAACCAACTTGCATTGTCTTAAATTACTTTATTCTTTTAGTTAAAATACAAAATTAAAGTTTAGAACAAACTTATTGTATGAGAATTTATCTTTTCATATTAAAATTTTGAGTAAAGTAATTTTGGGTCCTTAATAAAAATCATTGGGCCCATTTTAATCCCTTAGCGGAAAAAGTCAACTTGTGCTCCCTTTGAAATTCAAAATAGACTCAATTAGTCAAAATTGTATTCCCTCTGAAATTCAAAGTAGACTCACGTTAGTCCCTCAAAATGACTAATACGGGTCAATTTTAAATTTTAGAGGAACCATGATTTTGATTTTTTTCTAAGGAATTAAATTAGGCACCGTGATATTTGTTGAGGACACAAAAGATACTTTACTTTAAAATTTTATATGATCAGGTTATTTGAAAATTTTGTGTCCATCTTTTTTCATAAATTTTAATTAAATCCTACCTATTTAATATCATAAAAAAAATGACACGGAATTTTCACATCATCAAATCATGAAATTTCAATATAAGAGAATTTACTCCCTCCTCATATATTTGGTCAAAAATCAAAACACAAGCCAAAACAAACAAATAAAAAATCCCAATTAACAAGAACAAATCACAAACCAACAAAATAATATCATATTAATGAAGCCAATACAAGAGACACGGGTGGTGGGTTGTGCTTGTGGTCGGATGGAGCACAAAACGACAATCTCATTTTGTCAGTTTAATGAAGTTTCTATTCTTTCCTCCACGGTTTCAAACGAACAAAATTTTAAATGAAACATAGATTACACTCTTATTTTAGGATCTTTTTAATATTTAACGGCTATATTTTTTTTAATTATGTAAGTTGTTGGATACAAATGAATCAATGGTCAAAATTAAATAAAAAACTTTTTATTTTTACATCTATAAAAAATTAACCTGCTCCAAGTAACAAATTTCTTTTAGGTGTTGAATAAATGTGAAAGATTTGAAGCAGTAGGTTTAAAGAGATTTTGAAAGATAGAAGAGGTGATCAATAAGCAAATGCTGACGAAGCTGTTGAAGATGGATTTGTCTCAAGATCCTTCTGAAAAAGATTTATTTTCCCGGGCAATGTTACATACATTAAAATTTGCTAATGCTACCCATAACGAACACAAAATTTGCTAATAGTCGACACACATATAATTTACCCTCGACAAATATATATAGAGTTCAAACACATAACAAACTTAAAAGTCGATATGCTTAATAGTTACATACATAACTTACCCACAACAAACACAGAATCCAAACATATGTTTAATAGTTACATACATAAGCTACCCACAACGAACACAAAATCCAAACATATGTTTAATAGTCAGATACATAAGCTACACACAACAAACATAAAGCCCAAACAAAAAAAAGTTAAATGAACAAAAGCCAAGTTGTTTTAAGACATGCCCTTACACACTGATCTTGCATCATTTGACAAGTGCCAGAACTCTTTTCCCATAGGGATGGTTGTGCAAATATGTATAATTGGACAAAATACTATTTAAAAGCATTTTGTTAAGAGCGCCCTGCAATAAAAAACAATGAAAACATATTTTTATGAACAACATGAGCAAAGTTACAAAAGTATAAAGCTAAGGAAAAATATATAGAGAGGGAGGAAATATATATATATATGGGGCAAGATATTCTTACACCGGTGTAAGAGTTAGAAGTCTTACGCCCAATCTTGACCATTGATCCACTTATATCCAATGACTCACATTAATAAAAATTAGAGCCCTTAGATATAAGTGGGATCAACGGATAAGATTAAGTGCTTGTTTGGATCCTCTTTTTTTTAAGCTACAAGCTACTTATAAGCATAAGCTAGGCCAAACAGGTTTTGGGAAAAGCTCTTATAACGAAAATCTCTTTTTTTTATAATGAAGAAAAAAACTGAAAATTAAAAGCTCCTAGGAGGAGCTTTTTTTTAAGCTCTTATCTGTTTTTCTTGAATTGTGTGCTTTTTTTTAAAATAAAGAGTGATAAAGATAGAAAGAGATAATTTTCTTGAAATATGTGCTTTTAAGTAATTTTTAAGCTAAAACTTTTAAATAATTTCCAAACAGCTTTTAGCTTATTTTTTTAAGCTCTTTTTTTTAACTTTAGCTTATAAGTAGCTTCTAGCTTAAAAATAAGAGGATCCAAACAGGTTCTAAGAGTGTAACTTACAATGGTGTAAAATGATCCTGACCCTATATATATATATATATATATATATATATATGAAAAAATGAAAATAAAGTGACTGGACGGTCCAGTGCACTATGTTCTCCCGCGAGAACATACTGCAAAAATATTACAATGGTGTTCTCCCGGGAGAACATAGTTATAATTTTACTATAACTGTATTCTCGCGAGAGAACATAGTGCACTGGACCGATTTTTACATCTTGTACACTCACTAAACTCATATATATATATATATATATATATATATATATATATATATATATATATATATAGAGAGAGAGAGAGAGAGAGAGAGAGAGTGAGGTGCATATAACCTTGGAATTTTTCAGTGCTTTTTGAGCAACATAATTCCCATAAGGATGCTGCAGAATTCCCAAAAAATTACGATTGTACATGATCTCATGAACTATAATAGCAGCATCACTTTCTTCCGAGAATTCTAAGAGATCTTCCACCACATTGCTGGCATGCTTGTTCATAGAAAGTTGAACATATTTACCAACAAGTTGTGATATTATTGCTGCATTTACTTGAGGTATCTTCATTTTAACAACATATTGCACAGCATAATTTCTGCAGAAAAATATCGAACAGTTAAGTTTAAAATGAATGGAATATGTATTGCAATTTAAAAGAAATAAAAAGTGGAGCTCAAGAGTTGGAACACAAACCCATAACGATGGTCAGTTAGGACTGGAGCATATGAGACTATCTCTTCAATGACCTGTCTCATTGCATCTCCTTTGGCATGATCAAGACATTTTTGAAGGATAGGAGAACCGCTTTTGTCTGTTGCAATTTCAACACAATTCTTTGCTACTTCATTCAGAATAAACTGAAATAAAGGTTTCAATTAAGAATATTCATACCCATGACATGCCACCGAACTAGTATTACTTCTCAAGACACCATTATTGAATTCCATAGTATTTGCAATGCAAATCAAATTAATAAATTATGACATGGAAGTGAAAGGTTTCATCACTAAGCATATTAGCCCACAGGCCACAATAATTTTATACCTGATAAACCTATGTGTATAAAAGTGGGAGACATGAGTCGCAAAATCATATTCAAAATGATTGCTTAAACAGTCATGCATGTCCAATCTTCTCTCCAATTAAGCTTGTAAACACGATGTTTTTATACTCTTAACACATGCTTCCATAAATTTCCAATTTGTTCATGGTTTTAGTTTTTGCAACAAATAAAAATATCCAGTGCTTACTTTACTCACTGAACAGAAACTTCCAAATCTTTAAAGCATTGAGACTACATGCTCCAGTTTAACAGCTCTTTAAAAACTACAAAAGTCATGATCTGAACCCTCAATTCCATGAACTTTTATTTATGCAATATAATATGCTATAATTTTATGAAGTGATCACTTTTTTACCAACTGATATAATTAGTTGTATATATATTCGTCAATTTTCTGAAGATTAAACACAGTAATTCTCTTTAGCAAATTTTCACCGGTCTACTTAAAGAATTCTTAATATCATTATATATTTGAAGAATTGAGCAGCTTTGAAAAATATAAAACCAATTAGTAGACATTGATCTTGATGGGGTTCTCTCTAATAGATGTAAGGCACCTAAAAGATGCAAAATAAGGCACTGAGAACTAAACTAAATACCGTGTAACTGACTTATTCTGAAACTATATCATACTGTTTCTTAAAACCTGGATATCCATACGGGGGCAAAAAGTAATCTTCGATGGCAATTCAACGATATGCACTAATCAAGATTTTCACCTCCTAGAGTAATCAGTGTGATCAAGTGCAAGAATTAATGATTCATAGTCAACTAATTAAATATGATTCATAGGGATGTAGAGTGCATTACTTTGGTAAGTGCTGGTGAGAAAAGTTTCAAACACTCTTGGATGACAAAACCACCATTAATGCTTTTGGTCAATTTGAGAGTGATACGCTTCAAAGCAAATATAGCTGTAGATATCTGCTCTGGTGTTTTAAGATGCTGCAGCAATTTCTGAATAGCCCGAGTCCTGTAGCAAGCAAGTATATATTAAGATTAAAAAAAATGAACACTTAATTCATATATATATATATATATAGATATTAAGAAGTAATATTAAGTTAATCAATGGGTACCCAGTACTATGGATGCAAACTTCCTTAAGCCTCTGCTCATTTCGAATAACCATGGCAAGAATCCTGGTCATCTGGTCCACAGTACAAGCTTCAAAAATATTTTGAATTATATAATTGCTTTGGTGGTCCATCATTAGCTCGTACAAATGATCCTTGACTTCCCAGAGGAGCATTTCAATAATTTGTGGGTTCCCCTCATTAAACTTGTTCATCAGAAAATGAAATCCACGTTGATCCCTCACATCTTCAAGTGAACTCAAACTGTGACGCTGATCATTCAACCCATAGTAACCATGACAGCCTAGTCTAATCCCATTATTTGATAAACGAGGATTTATAGTACCGCGAAGGTGATCATGGTGTGAAAGAGTAGAGAAACCTGAGTATTTGACACCATGAAGAAAATGTTGCGAAGTGTTATTACCACCAAAATCATAGCCAGCTGTGTAACTATTATAAGGATTGGACAAGCAAAGTCTCTCCATGGAAGAGGCAAGGTGTTCCATACCAGGCCGAGCGGTCTCAACCGGGGTTGGATTCAACCAGCGGGAACCGGTAATATTACTCTGATTCTGATTCATTGGAGAAAGGAAATTCTCTTGGTTTGGAGTAATAGGGTTATGATCAAAAGGATGGTTTTGCGAGGTGCAATGCATCCTTAGATGCTTTTGGATAGAAGGGTTAGAATGAGAGCGGTTCTGGTACATAGCTTGATCACTGATCTCCGGTGAAGGAGATACCGTGGCAGAGCTTCTAAGGTCTTGATAGCTGGCCTCCATGGAGAAGTAGAAGAAAATTGAAGAAACGGGAGAGACTGAGCAGGGTTTTAAAGATTTGAAAATTGAAATAAAGGGTGTGTTTGGAATTTAAACTGAGTGTATTATTTGATTTTTATTATTTTTACTATTATTATTGAAATCCCCAGCTGCAAGTTGTAGAGAGATAAGAAATTAATTAGAGATTATCTGTTGCCATTAAATAAGGAATGATAATGGATTGACAGATTTTTAAGGTTTAATGTTGAAGATTTTGATAATAAATACAATCGAGAATGATATTATAACAATCAATCAGTGTTACCATCAATCGATTTCACCGTTAAATCAATTATATTGATCAAACTGTTATTTTTATTTTTATTTTTATATGATTATGATTCCTTATATTTAATATTTTATATTTATTTTTACCTTTATATAGTTATGATTTTTCATATCTAATGCTTCCATATTAAATATAGGGAATCATAATCATATAAAGATGAAAATAAATATAACTGTTGGATCAACAAATTGATCTAACGATAAATTTAATTGATAATAATACTAATTGATTGTTACGATATCTTATCTCAGATACAACTTACAATCATCTTTTGCTTCTCTTTTTTTTTTTCATTAAGAATGACGCAAAGCTCCTTTAATTTTGAACGGCATAAATGCATTCCGCGCTTTCCATTAGCCTGATTTCACTGCAACGTAATTAATTATTTTATTTACCATAAATATATTCAACGCTTAAAGGAAAAAATATTCCCAGTCAATTTCATCTACTTTGTCTAATTATATTAGCACCAAAAATAGATATGATGATATATATTGATTAACTAAAAACAACGTCCAAATAAAATAAAATAAACTCCTTTTTCTTCGTAATCAGTAAATGACATTAATTTTCTTTGAAATTAGTAAAATTTATTCTTAAATGTACACATCTTTTAAGGGGATAAATTTTGTTTAGAATTCTTTCATATATTTTTTTTAAAAAAAATTAATAAAAATTTCTTTTAATTAAGACATTGCCAAAGTTTCAGACGTAATGATTTTAGCACTTAAAGTCTCAATAAGGACAATTAACACATTATATACAAACAATTCATTTCTATAAAAAGAATATTAGCTAATATGTTATAAAAACAATATTAAATAAGGATTATAAATTTTTAAATTATTTATAAAATGTCACTGCAAAGTGCAAACATTCCAATTAACCCTTTTTTCGGAATATCAATTTATATGATAATATTTGAAAAAAAATTAAATTAAAAATTTAAAAATATTAAATTTATTATAAATTTCTTTTCTTGTCTGTAAAAAAAACATGCATTCAATTTTTTGAATGAATATGAAAAAAAATAGTCAAATTAATTTTCATAATTAGTAATAAATTTAACGTTTTTAAATTCTTAAACATTCTAAAAGATTGCGCCGTACAAATAGAAATTATTTATGGTTTTAAAAAAATTTGACTTAATAAATTTAATACTAATTTTAATTTAATATAATTTGATTTCAATTTAGAGGATTTAATATCCTCTATCAGGTACGTAATCGAATTAATCGGGTATTTATTCATGTAAATCATTTGCCCAAATAAATGCCCCAATGTCCCATTTTGAGTAAATTTTGGGCAAAGAATGTGGTCATGTCGCGTGTAAAGTTAAACTTGAAGGTGGGATTCAGTTAGTCAACTTTGATCTAACCAAAATGAATTGATATATGAGATAGATTGATAATTAAAAAAAAAAAAAAAAAAGAGGATAATTTGATCGATGGCCCAATATTATTAAAGGGAGGGTTATCTTCTCTTCTATGTTTTAAGTATTCAAATCGTTCTCATTCGGCATTCGGATACAAAACTAATCACAAACAAATATGTTAGTTTATGTTAGAAAATGAAGTATACACTCAATGGGTGCAGTTCAGTTGGTAACTTGGCGCTGAGTTAGTGGGGTTGGATATGTGTTCGATTCCCGCTGAATGCATTCCTGGGGAGGGGGCTGAACCTTTAGCCATCACTGTTCCCCCGCACTCCGAATTAGTCTCATAGCCGGCTCAAAGAGTCGAAGCTCGGAGGATACCGGAAGGAGCCAACTCGTCTCAAAGAGATAATTAAAGTTGGGTAACTCCAAAAAAAAAAAATGAAGTATACGAGGGGGGTTATTCACTTATTCTTACAAGTTACAGTCTTACAAGAATAAATTTTTTTATATTTATACTTAATTATTAATCCACTTATATTTAATGATTCATATAACTAAAAAATCAGAATTATTAGATAAAAATGGAATCAATGATTAAGATTGAAAATATAATTTATATTAATATAAAATGATTATGACCCCAATTATATTATTACAATTAATTCTTATATAATAAAATAAAGTTATTATATTTTTGAACGAAATAATCTATCAATATATTAAAACATATATACAAACATAAATAATATTTTTATCCCAAATTAATTGGAGTTGGCTGTGGATGAAATTAAGCAAGAAAAAAAAAAGAACAAATTCAAAAAATACAAATTTAAAATTTAAAATAATAATAAATAAAGAAAAGAGAAAACCAATATATGATAAAGACGGACATGATGATAACAAAATAATAATTTATCTTTTACAGAGTGTAATATGTCATTTTTAAAGTTTGGTAGGTTATCTTAATTTTTTTTTTAAGTCAGGTTAAGTCTATAATTCAGTTTGTATCAGGCTAAAATGCTAAATTAGGTTTGAAATATTTTAAGCCCTAATCTATTTAGTGATGCCAAAAGCACAAAGAAAACATGGATAAATAAAAAATTAGGATTTCATAAAAGAGTAACCCTTTATTTTTAAATTTCTACTAAAAAATAACAAAATCATTTCCTACAATAAGAGTCGTATACACCTTTTTATAGATTAATTACAAATTGATCCAAAATTCAAAATTTTAAATCTTATAAATAATAACTTCTAAACAAAATTAATTAATTATAATTAAATTATTCAAAATACGTTTCAAATCTTAAATATCAAATTATGCCAAATGTGTTGCTTTTTTTTTTTACCAAGCAAATCCAAATCATGTTTGCTGCTTCATTTGGACTTGAATTTAATCGTAATTTTTTATATTTCAAATTACTGTTTCTTTTAACAATTGAGTCATACTTATTGGGCCACAGTTTAATAACATGTGCAATGGGTCAACTGTAAGTGCATCATTCTCTCATGCTAGGAAAACATTCGTCATCGAATCTTCTTCATTTTCACTGATATCAATCTCTTTAGGTAAAAACTTAATTGATAATTCTTTCTCCATTAGATCACATTCTCTATCAAACTTATCATAGACTGGATTTTTATGATAAGATGGATAATAATTATAAATCGGATAATCATTATAAACTGAGTTATGATTATAATCATCAAATCAGAAATGTTGATTTGAATCTCGATATATTCAAAATTAGACTGATTTTCAGGTCATGCTTCCCAATGATCTTCCTATTTTAGAATCCTTAAGGGATTCACGTCCTCGTCTTCGTCATCAGATGCGTCTTCTAATTCTATTCCTTCTTCGGATTGAATGCCCAACTTTGTCCGTGGAAGTCATTGTAAGAACCCGCACAGTTAATTAAGGTATTTAATTAATTAATTATGCAAAATTAGGAAATGATTCCATAATTGACCCTAATAATTATTATGAGGCTTTAATAATTATAGTAAGTGAGTTATAATGCTGAAAGTCGCTTTTCAGAAGAAAAGTGCAGATACCGATTCTGCTAGTCGGTATAAATGCGTGCCGAAAAAGTATCCCGGAAAATCATAGTAAGTGCATTTTAATTACTAGAATAATATGTAGGACTTGTAAAACAAGTTTCAAGTTCAGATAATGAGAACTGGTGCTAGAAACCGGTACTGACTTTGAGAATCGCGTACCGGAAAGGTGCTCAGAAAATTATAAGAAAAATATGATAAATCTTAGAAAATTATGTAGTTTCATAATCCAAAGTTTGGGATTAAAATGCTAAGCGTAGCAATTAAAGATAATACTGTGTGTTTAAGTGGCTTGGGCTATAAATACCCATTTTTAAGGGCACAAAGCCCTAGATACCAGACTTTGAACGTGAGTTGTTGGTGGAGGCTGACCAGTTTCTGTTCCTTTGGCCTTCTCCCTCATTCTTGAGCCAAGTTGTGACCTTTATTGGTTTTCTTCACCTTTTCTTCTTGTATACACTTGGGTGGTGATTTGTGAATGTGGAGAGTGGGTTTGAGGGAGTGCTCAGCCACTGTTGGTGAGGGGTTTTGGGGCTGACTTGGTTGGTTTGGTTGTGAGAAGCTTGACTTTGGTTTTTGGAGGTCCAAGTGGGGAACTTTGCTCTAAGGAACCAACCTTTATGGTGCTATTTTCGTGCACATCTTTGAGTCAGACTTGAGGGGTTGTGTTGAGCTCCAAGAGCACCTTCATTCTCTGTTTTAAGCCTTTGGTATGTATACCAACCTTTGATCATGAGTTTAATGCTTAAAAATGAAAGCTTGATGCATGTTAAGGCTTAAAGATGCTAACTTGTTGTTGGGTAATGTTGAACACACCTAGAAATGCATGTTTAGGTGCTTTAAATCGTTAAAAACCCAACCTTGGAAGGATATCTTCACGAAATGCATTTTCTGCATTCTGTCATGAAATATCCGGATATGTGCCCGATGAATATCTGGATATGTGATATCCGGATATGAGATTCTGTATATCCGGATATTGCATATCCGGATATGTCCAGTGAGATATCCGGATATTGAATATCTGGATATGGTCCCGAGGAATATCCGGATATTATGGGATTTCGAAGAACAGTAGCTGTGTTGTGAGGACAATAGGCTATTGGGGGTTTGGGACCCTAGATTGATGAAGTTGAACTTCTGTTTTAATTAAACTAAGTCAGAATCAAGTGATTAAGGACTTATGGCTTGGTATGGAGCCTTAAGACGTTAAACGTAAGGAAAGGCGTTGTCTTTAAG